TGCGAAGAATCCCTGAGCAGCTCTCATACCATGTTACAATCTGAAATGTGACTTAGCGAAGAGGATCGTTCAGGGTTGATCGCGGGTAGTGTCGCAGCGGAAGTAGTGAACTCAGGTCAGAGTGAATGTAAATGACTGAGATTGATTATAGCATGCATACATTGGGTTTATATAGAAATACAAAGGAATGCGAAACGACCTAGACTAGCCATGTACTCTAAGGGGTACATTCCCTTATTGCAGCGAAATTTAAACCGTGCGGCGCGGGCTGGCCTCTCGATATCAGGGTAAAACACCCTTATGGCCCTTACTATAAAGGTGGGCTTAGGTGATCACCCTTGTTTTTAAAAGTTGTTTTATGACACACCTTTAGCAGAAAAAGTGTTCATTGTGTTAACACTGATATTTAAGACAGGCCTGGTGTACTCGCCCTGATGACCAAGACTAGTGTCGTGTACCACCTTGACGCGATTTGACGGGGGGGGGGGGGGGGGGGGGGGGGGGGGGGGGGGGGGGGGGGGGGGGGGGGGGGGGGGGGGGGGGGGGGGGGGGGGGGTGGGGGGTGGGGACTGACGCGATTTGGGCCGTGATTAGCGGCGTTTTGCCTGAGTCACCAGATGTGCGCGGCGCCACTGCCACTGACCCGTCAACTGAACCTGGCTCACCTGCAATTTCCCCACCTGGCAATGCCGCGCAGCGCCACACACACCTGCTTCGTGCAGGATGTGTGTCCTGCTTGGAAGCATCTTCTTCCCTCCCTAGCAGGCCCCCACCCACCGACCAGTCTCTCCCACGCACCCAACCCAGTCTCTCCTCGTTTCACTTCTCCTGTACTGCCTCCTCGCTATCTCGTCCGGTCGAGGGTTTGCAAACCACCCCACCACCACGCTCTCACACAGCTAGTGTAGGCCCAGCTCCTGCATCCATCCCTCTTGCCCTCGCCATGGCTGCTGACGAAACCACCGATGGTGACGACGAGGCACGTCGTCACCAGCAAAAATCACTCCCGCGTACGGGCCTCAGCTTTCTACAAATCCCCGCTAAGAAGCTGTTAGATCCGGAGCCCGTAGTTGCTTCAACAGAGGATGAAGCCCACGTGGATGAAGCGGGGCGAGACTTGCGGTCACCCGAAGTTTGCACTACCACGACGGAACCTGAACCTCCAGAAGCGACGGCTCCAGAAACAGAGATTGGCGGTGCGGCTGGCGACTCTGCGAACAAGAAGCGCAAAGAGTCAAGCAATGGCGGTGGCAAGCCGTGGTGGCGACAACCGAAGCCCTCTTCGAAGCGGTCGGCCCGTCCAATCCGACGAGTGGAGGACGCGGGGAGTGACGATGACGAGGATGACGATGGCTTGCCGACTGTCGAAGAGATGGCCCGTTACCCCGAAATCGCTTTCGCTAAAGCGCATAAGCGATTCAAGACGTCGTGGGAGTCTTTGTTTCCGTGGCTAATTTTAACTCGTGATGACGTTGGTTTCCCCATTTTGAGATGCAGCACGTGCTTGGAACATGGAGCTGAAGGCGCGAAAACGGCCTATGGCAAGGGAGGCAGTGGAGGGCGTGACATGCAGAAGGGGAGCATCCGGACGCACCAACGGTCCACCGCACACCAGGACGCACACGCCGAGATGAAGTCGAAGGTGAGCCGGAAGCTTCGTCAAACGATGCTGAGCGAGTTCGAGGGCTTGGATCGCAGCACGCATCACATCATCACAGCTCTCAAGACCACCGTGTTCATCTGCAAGTCGGAGGCGCCAATCACCTCGTACGTGGGCACGATCAAGTTCATGGCCGAGCTCGGAGTCCCGTACCTTCCCTTGGATTCCAAGGGAAACTACTTCTCTGAGTAAGTTTCGGGGAACGCGCTGTCGTTGTACTTGTTCCGTTAGAACTGACTTGTTCCGTGCTAACCACTGTGCTTGTATCATGCAGGTACGGTTTCGGGGAGCTACTAGATGCTGCCGCGAAATACATGCGGCAAGAGCAACTGAAGCAGCTCGAGGCGAGCCCGTACATCTCCATTCAGCTCGATGAAAGTACTGACAAGGCGCGCGGCAAGCATATGATCGTCTACGTCCACTTCATGAGGGAGGGAGCGAGCGTCTGTGAGTTCCTCACGCTGCTGACAGTTGACAAAGGTGACGCGGCTAGTCTCGTCGACGTGCTACTGACCCACCTTGACGCCGTGGGCATTGACATGTCCAAGATCGTTGGAATCAGCACCGACGGCGCCAGAGTCATGACGGGCACCAGCAATGGTGTTGTGGCGCGACTCCGCCTGCGGAATCCCTATCTCGTGTCGTGCCACTGCATCGCACATCGGTAAGTCCGTATATGTTAATGGTTTCATGACATGTGTGTAGTGTTGATCATGTAGCCCACTCACATCAGTCGCTCGTTTTCCTGTTCTGCCTTGAGCAGGGAGGCGTTGGCCGCGAAAGATGCTGCTGAGAAGGTGACGGAGTTCAACATCATAGACCAGGCGGTGCGGAACGTGGCGGAGCAGCTTTCTAGGTCGAGCAACTGGCACCGACGATTCGAGCACCTTCAGGAGTACATCTGCAAAACCAACTTGGAGCTGCAGGGGATCAACGATGTGCGGTGGCTCTCTAGAGGAGAGGCAGTCAAGCGGTTCGCCAAGGTTCTGCCGGCGACGATCGTCCTGCTAAACGATTTCAAGCACGCGCTCTATGAAACGGTCACCTCCTTCAAATTCCACTTCATGCTTTTCTTCCTTGCAGACATTCTTGCCGTGCTCAACGAGCTCAACGCCAAGTTCCAGAAGCAGCAGGTGATATGTGGAGTGTTTTGCTTGTCCTCGTTTGCGGTTGTTTCACTACCATGTTCCCGGTTGTTGTAAGTGGAGATTGTTGTACATCAACCTCTGGCAGCAACTATTCATCCCACCCCCACTCCCAGGTTGACATCACGGTGGTCGCGGGGGAGGTGTCGCTCGCTTGCAGGACGATCGAGGTGCGTTACGTGGACTGCGAGGATCGTTTCGGCAACGATCAGTCGCCCCTGCTCTGCGCGTTCCTGAAGAAGCACGGCAACCCGGAGCACCGCGAAGTCACCGTCAACGGTGTGGACCAGAACGGAGACGCTGCAGAGCACAAGTTCGTGCTTCACGAGCGCAAGATCCCAGGCCATACGACTGGCGGGGACTACTACTCCTGCAAGGCGGTGTGCCAGGAATTTGCGAGGGTCTGCGTTGCCCGACTGGAGTTCCACCTGGAAGACCTCAAGGACCTGGCCGGCTCCAAGCTTTTCCGGCCATCATGCTATCCCGACGACAACGAGGAGCGGATGAAGAAGTGCCACGAGTGGTTGCGCATGCTTGACCGCATGTTTCGCCACCGCCTCTTTGGTACGCCGCCTGGTTGTGCCTGCAATTTGCTGTCTGCTCTGTGTGTGTGGTTACCTTGGTGTGATGTTAAACACCACACCTCCCATACGCCCCGATCGCCCCTCTCACTGCTCTGCTCTCCCATCCTGGCAGGTGTGTGCTTCAAGGCGTGCGAGAGGGAGCTACCGTTGTTTCTCCACACCATGGACACCAACCACGGCAACATGAGCTTCCATAAGTCGCTCGCGCTCATGCTCCAGTCAACTGACTGGCGGGGAGCCTACCCGAACCTTGTGCAGCTGTGGCAGGCCGTAGCTGTGCTTCCCCTTAGCACGGTGGAGTGCGAGCGCGGCTTCAGTCGCCAGAACCGTATCAAGACGTGGAAGCGGACCTGCCTGGGAGACGCCAGACTGGGCGATCTGATGACTGCAGCTCTACTGCCCAGCGATGGTCTGAACTGGGTGAATGTGGTAGACGTGTTCAATGCCAGCAAGAAGCGCCGTTCGGGCCAGGAGTTTCTGTATTGAGTTGGTGTGGTATTCTGCTCCACCATGTAGTCGTGCTGCTGTTATTGTTCAAGTTGTAGGCTTGTAGATGTAGTTCTTTGTTACAACAATACATGATGGTAAGTAAACATATAATGGTACAAGTAATCGAGGTGCACAGCACACTGACGAGCAAGAGTAACACTGCAGCCAACACTGATAAACAAGACTGAGGTGGATGCCCCACCCTTACTGAAAGACCAGCTTTGGCAAACTGCCCTTTCGACCAAGAGTGCTTCCAAACCTATCCAGAGGCCAGGGCGCGGGAATCAGTTTCAAACCTGTTCCCGCTCTTTTCACTTCAAATGCTTCTGCCTGCATCGGTCTTAGTCAGACGGTTGCTGTGTCGCTTCGACTCTTCTGACTCCTCGTCTTCGTACTCGGTAGAGTCGGCTCCTGCAGCATACAGGAATGCCTTCTCATAAAGCTTCATATCGTAACAACAATACACCACAAAAACATAACATACCACTTTCCATCTATCCAGCCATTGTTTTTAACTCCCAACCCGAGGGCAAACGCTATCACAGCTCTTCGTGACCTACCGGTAACTGTGCTGTACTATGGCTTGTATTTAGGTTTCTTTATTGCTGATTCAGCTCAATTTGGCCCTTTCTTTTAGGGTAACCGCGTCAAATTTTGAGATCAAACTGGATGACGCGATCGGTTTCCCAACTTGCAAAACGAGTCCCGTTCCAGATCACATTTCTCAATTGAAAATTTTACGAAATAATTGCAAACTCGGCAACTTTGACGTTCCGAACTTGAATGTAACAGGGTGGACCTGTTTCGAGCAAGTGATCTGTTCTTCGTCCATTATAACGATTGGGTATCAATACCCAAGTTACCTTAACGAAAAATTCTCTTTTCGCGAAGCCAATGTGTTCTGCAAAATTGAGTTTCTGTGGGCGGGATGCTGGGTCCGCGTCGACCCTCCACAACGCGGAACGCAGTTGGGTTCGGATTGACTGATCGGCATCCAAAAAGTTGGGATTTTGTTACAGAGGTGTGAAACTGCCAAATTGAAATGAGTATGACCCGCCCTGAAGTCTTTCCGTACACATGCGGCCAACAACTACGAACTTCAGGTGGTGTTGAGGAGACGTATCAATGACCTGCAAATACAATTACACATTCACATAAGAGCCAGAATTAGCATTTCACAAGGAACTTATGATTGTCGTGACAGTATTTAACTCGTGATCTTATGAGGACGGATCCTACTGAGAACACAAGCTGATGGAGTCACGGATGGTGTGGGGGTTGTGTCAGCCACTCGTCCCACTGCCCAGACCCCAAGGGGACTTGGAGGAAGGTGTGGATTGTTTCAACCCCACCCTGGCAAGCCAAGGCTGGCAACGGCGTTGTTCTGCAGGCGATTTTTGGCAAGAAACAGGGTGCGCAGAATCTTCGTTGATAAGGCCTTTTCTGCTTATCCAGGTTCGGTGATAAGCGAGTGCTTGCCAAGCCTGTTTGCGCCAAATTTGACGCCTCTGCCTGCAGAACACCTCTTTTGGGGTGCAAAAGTTTAACCTTCAGCTGGTTCGCGGCTGTTTCTTTGACGGGCAAAATGTCGCACCATTTGTGCGGTGCTGATTCCATCTCGAGAGGTAGCATCAGCCCCCGCACAAGTTATGCGGGGCAGTATCAACCTTCGAAATGTGAACATTCGCCAAAACGCGAAGGTGCGGCTGGTATGGTGCTGGACTTCTATGCAACATCCGCGCAACCACACCACAACAGATGCGCCCTGAAACCACTCGGAAGCCCCTGCCCGCACAAAATATGCGGAACCAATAACGCCTGCGGAACAGCGCCAACGTGTAACTTTAGCTGATAACGCACCTTCAAACCAGCTCCAGTTTCCTTCGGGTTGCAAAACAGATTGTGATGGGCGCACCGGCATCAACGGATTGACCTGCAGATGGGAAATGCAGCAGGAAAGAGAAGTTAGGGTATGGCACAACGCTTTTAGATTCGTGATATGCAGCCAGCACAGACACGTATGACATGACCAAGCGAAACCAGCGCGTCAACAGGGAATGACGCCTCGCATTGAAAGCCACGTCAGCACGAAGCTGATTAGTGTCTGGATCACAGCGGCGCAGCTCTCTCACAGGGTAAACCCATCCGAGCCATAATAAAAATCTGCGTCCAGAAAGAGCTTGCTTAAACAGCGGGAAAACTCTAGAGACCTACAACAGCACGGGGTTTACCTTACAACTAGCCTCCAGATTCTTGGCATCAGCGAAAGAGTATAAGCGCAGACGGGAGCTCGCAGCAACTCGTTCAAAGCACCCGCCAGAGTCGATCGGGAACCCCTTGATGAAACGGGGATGCGATGCCTTGCCAAACTCCGCTAGCTCGTCATACAGCTGGTGCAGCTTCCCCGAGAAGGCGAGGGAAGTGGTGCGATGCTGCCATGCAGGAGTCGTGGGAGACACTCAACACATCTGATCACAATACGGCCGTAAGGGAGGGGAAGGGGACGGAAACTGTTAGGACGGGCCATGGAGATGTGCTACCTAGAGACGTTATGAACGTTCCTTAATTATGTGCCAGCAGGAGACTAATCGAACGGTTGCAGCAACAGGCAAAGGTTCAAACAAGCCCCCCATTGGGTTGGTATACTCGGCACTTGGGACAATCTCACTCCACAACGCACGGAGAGGTTGTACGGAGAATTTCACCGAGATGGTAAAATGAGAGAGCGAGGGAAAAGAAGATGGTGGGGTAGGGAAGGGTGGGGAAGAGGAGATCTGGTAGGCGTGCAAGTGAAAGAGCATGAATAAAGCATGGGTAACAAGGAGTCGCGTAGGGGTGGCTGGGGGTCAGAAAGAACGCAGCAATTTTATCTGGTCATTGCGGGGCATGGCGAGCCATCCACACTCCGATTTGCAAAACTCAATACTATTCGTCACTCCCCCATAAGAATACCGATGCGTATGCCGTTCGCATTAACAATATGTGGTGTAGACCTGTGAAGACCATCTCACGTGGCGGGTGCAGAGGGGAAGAATGTACCTCGGGCGTGCACGAAATGCCTCCGAAGGAGACGAGCGGCCGAAGTAAACTTCCTTGCAATGCGTCGGCTTAGGATGGGCGAGGAAGGGCGAGGAAGGGCGAGGAAGGATGAGGCAGAAATGTTGTCTCGGTTCACCAAACCGAAGCAGTTCTGTCAGACCCATCTGTGAACCAAAAAAAAAGACAAACATCAGGTATGTTTAGAACGTTGAAAATGTTGCGAAGCGATTGAGGCTTAAGCGCACGGAAATGGCTCTCCTCGTCTTCGACCGTGAGGGAGACAGAGGAGGTGCCACGGCGCCCGCCTCACCCAGCCGTGCCGCTGCTCTACTTGGTGCGAGTCAGGCAGACCAGGGTTAGGAGATACCTGACGACTGCCTTAGAAAGAAAATAAGCCACCAAGATTTTCGGAGGATAACCAAACATGACAAACCAAATATATATATATATATATATATATATATATATATATATATATATATATATATATATATATATATATATATATATATATATATATATATATATATATATATATATATATAACAACAAAACAAACAAACAAACAAAAAACAACAACAACATTTTGGTGTGACGAGGCGGATGAACGGAGAGTCAGCAGAGGGCAACAGAGCTAAACAGTCGTCACTGCACCCAATCGTCATTGAGCGTCTCTGTTGCAAGTCTCTGGAATCATCATCCTCTCCCGTGCTTTTGCGTGCTTAAATCAGCGTAGTGGAAAAAACACTCCAGCAAAACACGTGCATTAATGACAAACATTAATGACAAACATGGAAGGAGAGTCAGTAGGAAGGCAACAGAAGCCACCCAATCGGGTCGCTCGGTTGCGCATCTCTGTATTCGTCATTCTCTCGCGTACTAGCGCGGAACCAAAAGACGCAGGAAAAACGAGTAACAAAGCGAGGAATACGGTGGCCAGCTCTCTTCAGTTCAGGTCTCCAATGTGTTTCTTCAGTGCCCGGTTTTGGACAATCTCAGCAGAACGAAAGTTTTGTTTGATCATCCGCAGAGAGACTGGACCTGGTATATAAAAAGGTGAAATCGTAAGACCTGCCACGAAAGGCCCTGAAACGTAAGGCCTGAGACATAGGGCAAGACACGTAAGGTTTGACAATAAGAAAATAATAACCATCAGCGTCGCACAGCCATCAGGCGTCAATTCTTCTCATTCGCAGCTAGAGCCACGTCAGAAGGTGTCCTAAGGCTTGACATGTGAGATAATTTCATCATGCAGCTGCTGCGGACCGAAGGCAACAAAACAACGAAGGCTTAAGACAATGCGGCAAAGTTGGCAAACGTAGATATTTAAAAAAAAATAATAATAATATTAAAAAAAACTCCTCAGAAGACATTACAGGCAAGACCTGTCAGGCGGGTGGTCGGGGTCGGTACAGTATCGCCATATAATTTTCCGTTTCACTGCAGCGATCGCTGCACCTCAATCCAAGTGTTGGTATAGAATGGCTCCTCACTCCCCAACTCAATCAAATAACCGACCGATGAGACCGAAAAAACGAACGCAATGATAACACACCATTGTGGAGCTAGCATGCGGACAACCGCAGACGGGAATAGGTTTCTTAAAAGGCATCATAGGCAAGAACTATCAGGATGGTGGTTGGGGTCAGTACGATAACGCGGTAGTATTTTAGGTTTCACTGCAGCGTCGCTGCACCTCAATCCAAGTGTTGGTATAAATTTGTTCCTCACTCCCCAACTCAGAGAACCGGGCCGATTAGACCAATAACCGATAAATACGAATGCAGAGACAACGTGGAGCTGACACGCGGACAAGAGAAACACCAGACGGGAGAGGACAGAAGCCTTGCTTCAATGAGTTCGATCGGGACTCGCCCCCTGAGTTTTAAAAAGGTAACTTACCAGTGCGATGTGGCGACACATGCCCTGCAGTGCGACAGTGAATGGATAGAACGCTGCTGTAAGGAGCTTCCTCACGAGCTGCTTCTCACTGCGGTTGCTGGCGGAAGGCTCTTGTGAGTGCTAGAACACCGAAGTGAACTATATCGTATGGATATGGCAGGGAGGGGGAGAACAGGAGGTTGGGTTGGGATGGGAAGCGATTTTGCTGTGGAAAGTGGTGGTAAGCACAACCACGCACCAAAATTCTTGATTTCATAACAGTGTTCGTTCGCTTTTATATTACACGTATAAGAAAGTAAATTTCTTTTTAACACGATAGACAAAGCATACCGTTTTCCCTCAGTGATAATTTATCCATGGGTCTTAACAGATGTTTCATAACAGTGGTAAATAGATTTAACAGTTCGAATTGCATATTGTATCATACGAGCATACTGGTTACGACCATATGGTCTATATTAATCAAAACAATGTCAGGCCGTTCTTATCTTTTCCGCGTTTTCCATGTTTTTGGGGCCATAACCAGGTGTCAATATGTTCAACTACCTTAATCTCCATTGTAATGGCCTGCCTCCAGGTATAATTCTGAAGATGGGCGTACCGTAGGTGTTTAACTATGGTTCAATGTACACAGCAAGATTGTAACACGTATACGTGGCCTTCCCTATTCCCCGCTGAGGGCTGCCTCATACGCTTCTTCTGAATCGCTCAACGGAAACGGGGGTGACGCTCCCGTTTTGCCTGGGGCGACGCAAGGGGGTGACGGTCGACCGAGCGTCAGGGCGGCCAACTCCCTCGCGTGACTCCCCCGCCAGGCTGGCGCGGGGCGGGACTGGCCCCGAAGACCCCCGCCCCGGCCCCCCACCCCGAATTGCTACAGAACCCCACGTTACCCCCTCGGAGTGGCGAACTGGCGAGCGAGCGGGAACGGGCCTAGTAACCCCTTCACGGAGGCGGACGTTCGCTTCGCGCTGCCCGCGAGGCCCTAGTAACCCTCTTTGGCTGCCCTCGCCGGGCAGGCGGGTTGGATGCGAAAACCGGGGGTCCCCAACCCACCCTCGTCAACATCGCTGGCCCCTCGGGATAGGACACGTGGCTCGCTGTCGCCACCCCGACCACCCATGCATGGACCGCATCAAACCCCCCCGAACCCCCTCCTCGAGGGCAGGCCCGGTTCGGGCCGAAGCCGGAGGCTCGCCCTCGGCCTCGGCCTGCTTCGCTCCAGAGCGGCCGTGTGCTGCCGTGGGCGACCGGCGGCCCACGGCCATTTCTTGAAGGGGGGTCGGGCTCCGTCCTTCATTTCTCCGTTCCAACTTCGCTTTCCTCAATCTCTCTTCTTGGCTCGCACCTCCCTCGTCCTAGGTTCTCTCTCTCCCCCCCATCGTGGTCCGAGACCGTGGTGGTGTTAGCATGGCAACCGGTAGGATTGAACTGACTCCGGCGGACTTCCCCCTCGATGTGCCTATGGGGTGCGAGGGGTACAAAGTGACGTTTGAGATGAAGGACTACGACGTCCACCGCGATGAGAGGCTCGAGTTCACGGAGCGTTGCTTCGACTTCGCCCTCGCGTGAGCGCTCATCCCTCGTGCTTCGCTCCCTAGTTCCCTAGCTGTAAATGGTTGTCGCGCGCCTAGGTCGACGTCGTATACCGGTCGGCGTCCACCTCGTCGGCCCCAGCGTGGTCGACGTGGTCAGTCGATGATGGTTGCCGTAGCGCTAGGTCGTCGTTAAAACTCGTGGTCCACGCCGTCGTCGACCTAGCGCGTAGATGGACCCTACGTCGGCGCCGGCGCTCGGGGTGCCGGCGACGTCGCCCTCGTGCGTTCCGTTCGTCCGTGTCGGCTTGTTTCGCTGTCGGCTTGTTGGCCTAGAGGATAGCTCACCGCGCAGGCGGTTCCCTCCTGCCCTTTTGCCCCTGCTTGTCCCAGGACCGAGCTCAATCGCCTCGGTAAAGGCGACAAGGTGGCGCTGATTAATGCCGAACGGCTTCGCGCCTCCAGGACGGCGACGAAGCCGGACTATTCGCCTTACTTCGCGGCCTTCGACTTCGAAATCGTGGCCGTCCCCTTGTTGACCGCGTGAGTGTTCCGCGCCCGTCAGGCTTGATCGTCGCCGACCGCGCTGCTTGTTGTTCCCGGACACAGCACTTTATGTCGTCGTCCTGCATATTGTTTGTGCAGGGGCGGACCCCTTCCCGGCAGGCACTGCAGCGTCCTGCTTCTTGTGCGCCCTGGCGACCTGCTTTTGCCCGACGAGGAGGAGCCCGGGACTTTCTGCCGCCACCTCGACCCCAAGACTTCCTCCAAGCTGCACGAGAAGGAGGCGGCCAGCTTTTTGAGGTGGGACAACGTCGCCGGCTAGTCGCGCTCTTCTCTATCGGCGATTGTGCCGCCATGTCTGATGGCTCTTGTCCGTCTCGTGCGTGCGCAGCTTTTTCGGCGAAGCCGCGAAGGCGCAGTTGAACAATCCGGGAAGGGTGTGGAAGGACAAGGCTCCATCCGCCGAAGTCATCTCCGCACGTGTGAAGAGTATTGCGGCCCACATCCGAGATGTGAGTTTCCGACTTCGATGTCTCAAAGTCGCTTGGGCTTTCGTCGTCGAGCAGTGTTCTCACCTTTGTCGTCGTCGCCATGTGCTTCGCCGTTGTTGCAGAAATTGGCCGACTTCCTCAGGGAGGAGGCCCCCGGCATGGGGCTACTGTCAGCGATCGCGTTCGCGTGGTCGTTGGGCCATCTGGACGCCGTGCATCGCAGCTACGATCCGCTCGTCGTCGAGAACCCGAAGCTGGTCGGCCTCAAGGCGCTCCGACTGGAGCTGTTGGACTGCGTGGAGAAGGCCGCGCTGAGCAGACGGGAGGCGTCGTCCGTGGGTCGTGGCGTGGGAACCGGCATCGCTCTGGGTGGGGAGGCCGAGGAGGCTGCGGCGGGGTCGCACTCGGTCGGGCACGGGTTCAAAGATGGCGGCGAAGAGGAGCAAGAGGAGGAGGACCAAGAGGGGGGCGGGGAGGAGGTTGGTGGCTTGGACGAGGAGGAGGAGGACGAGGAGAGTGAGGACGCCGACGAGGAGGCAGTGCCGTTCGCCGGTGAGAAGGTTGCGGATAAGAGCGGTGCGAAGGTTGCGGATAAGAGCGGTGGAAGTGGACCCAAGTCGGGCAAGAAGGCGCGGGGGAGCGGTGGCTCGACCACGACCCGGATGGCGTCAAAGGCGGTCATGGAGCGTCTGAAGGCGGCGGAGCGGGAGAACAAGAGGCTGAGGGAGGAGAAACTGGTGGCGGAGAAGAGGCTGGAGAACCAGATGGTGCGGATGGACACGCTCCACTCCTCGGTTTCGGCGGCGGTCCACAAGCTGGGGGCGGTCGCCGACCGCGTGACCGCTCACGAGCAGACGTCGGGGGCGAGCCTCGAAGGGGCGGTGGAGGCTATGAAGGCGGTCGTGGAGGAGGCGTGCAGAAACCGCAACTCCATCATAGAGCACATGAACGACAAGTGGCTGCCCACCGTAAATGCCTTGAACCTGGCAACCGGTGCCTTGAACAATAGGCGACATGAAGACGACGTCCTATTGCTGCGAGGGGTGGCAGATGCGCTGGGAGAGAAGATCAAGACGGTCGTGTCTGCCGAGGTCAAGGCCGTCATGCAGAGCGAGGCGAAGGCGATCGCCGCGGCCGTGAGTGCGAAAGTCGCCAAAGAGCTTAGGGAGGTCGTGGTGAAGGCGGTCACCTCCGCGACCCAACAGGGGCTTGGAGCCGCCGGGTTTAGCCTCCTCCCAAATGCTCTCGCGTCGGCGATGCACGGCGGTCGCTCAACCGCCGAGGAGCATGGGCCGCCGCCAAGGCACGCCGGGAAAAGGGTCGCCGACGAAAAATCCCTGACCGGCGAGCAGACCAGCGGCATTAAGCGAAGCAGAGGACCAGCGGCGAAGCGCGGTTCGGCCGTGGAACCTCCTGCCGCCCCGTATGTTCGTATTCCCGGCGTCAACGACTTGCTGAAAGAGGGTCTTGGCGCGCGTCCGAGCGCCGATTTTCGACAGGTCGACGACGGGCTCCAGGATCCAGCTCCGGTGGTCGGGAAGTAGGGTGGGCAGCCCGTGGGGGACCAGCAGAGATTGGCCGCGACCACTCCGCCGAGCGTACACGACGCGCTACCGAGCGGCGACCAGACGCATCTGGTGGGCGGTGTCGTGGGAGGGGCATCCGTGGTCGGGATGCCGGGCGGGCAGCCACTGCCCGAGGCCAGTCCGGCGAATGCACATGGCGCTCCACCGAGCGGCGGCACGACGCAGATGGCCGGGGAGCTCCTGCACATAGCAGCGGTGGTCGGCCAGCAGGGCGGGCAGGCCGTTGCGCGCCAGCATGTTCAACCCTCGACGGGTACGGGGACTGCGAGACCGACCGGCGACACAGTGCAGCTGGCTCTGGCGCCCGCAGCGGTGGTCGGCCAGCAGGGAGGGCAGGCCGCTGCGGGCCAGCATCCTCACCCCTCGACGAGCACGGCGACGGCTCAAGACGAGCGACCGGGTGCCCGGCTGGCCGACGACCTCCTGCGCACCGCCGCGGTTGTACGTCAGCAGGGAGGGCAGGCCGCTGCGGGACCGCATCCTCACCCCTCGATGAGCTCGGCGACGGCTCAAGAAGCGCGACCGGGTGCCGGGCTGGCCGACGACCTCCTGCGGTCCGCCGCGGTTGTACGCCTGCAGGGAGGGCAGTCCGCTGCGGGCCCGCATCCTCACCCCTCGACGAGCTCGGCGACGGGTCAAGACGCCCGACCGGGTGCCGGGCTGGCCGACGACCTCCTGCGGTCCGCCGCGGTTGTACGCAAGCAGGGAGGGCCGTCCGCTGCGGGCCAGCATCCTCCCCCCTCGACGAGCACGGCGACTGCTCCAGACGCGCGACCTGCTGCGGTAAGGGCGCAGCTGGCCGACGACCTCCTGCGGTCGGCGGCGGTGGTCGGCCAGCAGGGAGGGCAGCCCGCTGCGGGCCAGCATCCTCACCCCTCGACGAGTCCGGCGGGTAGCGCGCGCCCGGGTGGCACGGCGGCTCTGCTGGCCGACGAGCCTTTCCGCCCCATGCAGCGAGCCACAGGAGTCCTACCCAGCGGCGTGGTCGAGGCTGCCACACCGATGATTGTGTCGGCGTCGGCACCAGCGCCTCACCGAGCGGGTACTGCCCACGGGACGCCCGGCGGAGTTGAGACGAATGTGTCGCTGCCGAACCCGCCTCCGCCCACCACGGTGACTGACGCTGCGGCCAGCTTACCCGGTCAGAAGGCCGGTATGGTCGGCGTGGAAGCGATACCCGCGCCCGCGGCTTCACCAGCGGTCGAGGGTCTAATCAACAGGAAGGGAACGTGGGAGGAGTATCTGAAATGGCTCGAGGATCAGAGTGGCCCAGAAGTTCCTCCGTCGGCGGCTAGGAACAAGGCGGTCGACCCAGGAGCAGAGACAGGGAACGCCACGGCAGCGACTGCAGGGGCGAGCGTCACCACAACGGAGGAGGCGGCTCTTTGGGGACTGATGGAAGAGGCCGGCGGGATGGACCCCGCAATCCTCGCCTCTATCGTGATGCCGGACCCTGAGGTCGAGGCCCTTAAGGATAAAGTGGAAGAAGCAGCCCCGACTGCGGAAGCGCGAAGGGATACACCGGCCGCCTCGTCTGCACCTGCGGTGGGCCCCAGCGCGACTGGCGCCAAATCCCTTTCAGGATAACTAGGCAAGAATGAATGCATTGAATGGAACAGTTGGGTACAAGTAGCAAACCCTAGTTGGGGTTGTACCCCATATTGGCTACCCCACTACAGCCTACGAACATATAACACATTACACTTTAACACACCCCCATAGGCAAAGTGGGGGAGAACAAAGGGTCACAAGACCAGTCCAGCAAAGCAACGCAAGCCCAGGGTGGATCACAACGTCACCACACTCCGAGCACAAGCAAAGGCCACAAGGCCAGTTCACATGCAGTGCTAGATATAGTACAAGACAAGCAACACAGTGATCAAAACCTAGCAAGCAAGCAACAAGATATATATAAAGTACAGTACAAAGAATGTCAAGCAGTGAGCAAGTGAGGAAACGTGGACACAAGGCCTAAAGAAGTACAGTGCCGCTGATGATCACTAGGCGGGAGCGCCTTGGTGAAGATATCAGCAGTGTTGGCCTTCGAGTCCACGTACACAAGCCGAAGCTGACCGCGCTGCTGAAGCTCTCGAGCAAGAAAGTAGCGAAGAGCAATGTGCTTCGTCCTGTGCTCCAGTCTGTGCTCCTGACACAAGGCAAGAGCCGCCTTGTTGTCACCGTACAGAACTGGAGGAGAACTAGGCCGCTCTCCCAAGTCAGTCAGCAGGTAGGTGAGCCAGCGTAACTCCTGTGCAGCCATGGCTGTGGCGTAGATCTCAGCCTCACAACTAGAGCCGAGAACAGAGGAAGAGCGGGTGGACCGCCACGAGACAGAACCAGAGCCAAGGCTGAAGGTGTAACCCTGTGACGACCGCTGCGTAGCCAGGTCGTCCACCCAAGAAGCGTCCGAGTGACCAGTGAGGACAACTCTGTCGCGTCCTCCAAGCACCAGCCCCATGCCTGATGTACTGCACAAGTAACGCAGCACCCTCTTAGCAGCCTCCCAGTGCTCTCGCCTGTGTCTCCCAGGCGCAACGTAACGAGCAAGGATGCTAAGAGGGTACGCGAGGTCAGGTCGCGTGCAAGTCATCAGGTACATGAGGCAGCCTACAAGCTCTGGGTACGGGCCACTCGGCTCTACGGACTCGTCCGAAGGTGGAGCTGAGAGCGAGTGGCTGGTAGCCAGAGGTGTGGCCTGTGGTGAGGAGAACTGGAAGCCGAAGCGCTGAAGGACCTGCTGCACCATGTGTGACTGAGTCAGGGTGATGGTGCGGCGAGCTCTGTCCCGGGTGATCTGCAAGCCAAGGTAGCTACGCAGTTCACCCAGGTCAGTGCAGGTGTGTCTCTTCTGCAGCTCCGACTTCACACGAGCGAGTGCCTCAGTGTCAGTAGTAGCAAAGACCAAGTCGTCGACGTACACGAGAATGTAGAACGGCGGCAGCGACGTGTCTGTGCGCAGAAACAGCGACGGGTCAGCAGTAGACGGCGCGAACCCAAGAGCCGCAAGTGTAGTCCTCAGTGTGTCGTGCCACTCACGTGGCGCCTGGCGGAGACCGTAGACTGGCCGGCGGAGGCTCCACTGGGTACCAGGGGGAAACGACCCAGTAAAGCCAGGTGGGCGGCGCAGCCAGATCCCCTCGTGCAGGCTGCCCTGCAGGAACGCTGTGCTGAAGTCAAGAGAGTGAAGCTCGTAGTCACGCTGAGCAGCAACGTGCAGCAGAACCCGAAGAGTGGTCATCTTCGGGGTGGGGGAGAAGGTCTGGAAGAAGTCGACCCCCTGACGCTGACTGAAGCCTCTAGCAACGTAACGAGCCTTGAAGACAGGCGGAGAACCTGGCGGCCGCTTCACCCTGAAAATCCACATGCCATCGACGATGTTCGCCCCAGGAGGGGGAACCTCGTCGACGTAGGTGCCTGTGGACTTCCAGGATGCCATCTCTGCGTCCATGGCTGTCTGCCACTGAGAGGAGTAGGGACCCGAGATCGCCTCTGCGTAAGTGCGCGGAGTGGGGATGTCTAGTGCATCCGGGTCTCCCTCAGGGGCAAGCAACCAGGCCACGAGATGAGGTACAGCAGCCGCAAGAGAGTCAAAGTCCTCCTGCCTGTCCTCAAGGACGTCCGTGCCAAGAGCACACTCACCCCCGACGGATGGAGGACAGACAGACGCAGACTCAGACTCAGCAACAAGGCTAGCAGCGTAGTCTAGACGACAGGCAGCAGCAAAGTCAACCAACTCAGCGACCAGAGCAGACGCAGCCGAGGACTCAAAGGTAGGGTCAGTGACAACAGTAGCTAGGAGACGCGTGACAGTAGGGTGCTCAGCGCGATACCGGTCAGACTCAGGGTCCGGAACGGCAGGCAAAGAGGACGCAGGAGGAGACGGTAGAGGGACACGCCGAGGAGCAGTAGAGGGACGCAGAGTCATGTAGTGAGTGCCTGGGACAGGAGGAGGACGCTCACGACGGACACGACTACCAGTGCGAGCAGGACGAACAGGCGACGCAGGACGAGACTCAGGCTCACGACGCTCTGTAAGACCTCCTGTGGGACCAGTGTAAGGAGAGGGAGCAGGGAGAGGCGAGGTAGGCGGTAACTGTGACTGCGGCTGGACAGGCGGAGGACACTCTACGGAGGGAGGAGGACAAGGAGGAGGAGCCTGCCCAAGAACCTGCTGAAGGAGCGGTACGAAGTACGGTCGCGGCCGCGCAGCGTCTCCAGAAGCAGAAGAGACTCCAGCGGCCGGGTCCTCAGTACCAGCAGGAGCTCCAACGTCCGGGTCCCCAGCACCAGCAGCAGCGCCACCGCTCGGGTCCTCAGCTCCAGCAGCAGCTCCACCAGGTGGGTCCGCAGCACCAGCAGCAGCGCCACCCCCAGGGTCCGCAGCACCGCTAGGAAGAGCACCCCCAGAGGCGGCAGCTACAACTCCGCTAGCACCGCCAGCGCCAGAGTCCCCAGCTCCAGCAGCTCCAGTCGTAGTGCTCCCAGAACAACCAGTCCCGGCAGCTCCAGTACCCCCAGTACGAGCACCCCCAGGACGAGCAGCTCCAGCACCCCCAACTCCAGCCGAGCCACGAGGACGGCGAAAGCGCCGGACGTACCAGTCACGAAGCTGCTGCGGTGTGAGAGACTGCTCAGCACCCCGAACCGGAGCACCCCCAGACGCAGCAACCCGAGGCTCCGTAGGCTCAGTAGCAGCACCCCCAGGCTCCGCACACGCAGGCTCAGCAGTCCTAGTCGCAGCACCCCCAGGCACAGCACCCCCAGGCGTCGAACTCTCAGGCACAGTACCCTCAGCCCCAGCACCCGCAGTCCCAGCACTCCCAGGCCCAGCACCCGCAGGCTCAGCACCCCCAGACTCAGCACTCCCAGCAGCACCACCTGCAGCAGCACCTGAGTCACCTGTGACCTCAACAGGCTCAGCGACGGGAGGAGGGTCTACCTGAGAGACACCTGAAGGAGCAGGACCCTGAGGGGGGAGGGGGTCTACCGGAGGGGGACCAGGAGCAAGGAACAGCGGCGGGGGAGGGAGGGGGGCAGTGCGGTAGGGGAAGAGACGGTAAAAAGGGACCGACTCGTCAAAGGTGACATCCTGAGAGGCGAAGACCCGGCGCGAGGTGGGGTGGTAAAACTGCCAGCCAGGCGCGTCAGGGACAAAGCCAAGGAAGACACAGGGAAGCGTGCGGGAGGAGAGCTTGTCCGCGGACGTATCGCGGACAAGGGCACGAGCACCCCACACCCGGAAGCGCGACGCATCGCCAACCTCCCCCGTCCAACGCAGTGTGGGCGAGGTCTCCGGCAAGGAGACACGGGGCCAGAGGTTGAGCTGATGCGCGGCGTACCGGACAGCAAACGGCCACAGAAAATGGGGAGCCGCCGCGTGGACCAAGGAGGTACGAGCGACCTCCATGACCAGGCCAATGCGGCGCTCAGCAACCCCATTCTGCTGTGGGGAGTCCGGAAGCGTGAAGGTCTGCTCAATGCCCTCCGCCTGACAGAAGGTCCTCAAGAGATCGGAGGAAAACTCACCACCTCTGTCAGAGTGCAGACGCAGGACAGGAAGATCCGTCCGGAAACGGCGGCGGAGCTGGAGACGAACTGTGCGGATCCAAGGGATCAGAACAGCAGGGACCTCACCCTTGGTGCGCAAGGGGAAGACCGTGGTGTAACGCGAGTAGTCGTCGACAACCAGCAAAAAGTACCGCTCACCACCCTGACCACGAACGCGGGCTGGGCCCCACACGTCCAGGTGGAGGGTCTGCAGAGGAGCCTCTGTCGGGGGGAACGAGGAGGAGTGAGGAGCGGCGCGCTGCCGCCCCTCGACGCAAGGAAGGCAAGGCGGCGCAGGCGAGGCAGGGAGGGGAGGGAGGGACCTGGGAAGACCAGACACAAGGTGGCGACGGTGCATGCCACGAAGGCGTGGCAAGGAGGGGTGACCCAGGCGGTGGTGCCAGAGAAGAGTCTGGTGCGACAGGGAACGACACTCACAGGCGTGGGCTACCAGACCTGACGCAGACACCTGACCGACAGCAGCTACCTGAGGAGACGCAGTGGTCAGTGTGTAGAGACTCGACCCCGGCCGACGGGTAAACGTAGCCAGGTGACGGCCGGTCCTGGAGCACGTGCAGATCGCCACACGCTGTCCTCCAGGGGTAAAGGTGTCAACCCACTGATCCTGGATGACAGCGTTGCTCACCAGGTTCGTCGAGAACGAGGGGAGGTGGAAACCCGACAACGAGCTAGACGGTACCGCCGGACAAGGGAGGACAGTGGTGGACTGGGCAAGGACTGGGCCCCCAGAGGGGTCAGCCAAGGAGACTGGGACCGGTGCAGGAAGCGGTGTGAGCTCAGTACTGTCACGAAAGAAGCAACGGGAAGCACCTGAGTCAAGGGTGAAGGTGTGACAGGCCTCAGCCGGTGCGGTACCTGAGAGAGCAGTCTCTGTGGGTGCTGTACCTGAGAGAGCAGACTCGCAAACAGCCGGGACAGCACTGGAGGGAGCAAGTACAGGGGGCACCATACCAGAGAGAGCAGACTCACTAGTACCCAGGGCAGCGGGCTCTATACCTGGGTCAGGCGGCACACACAAGTAACAGTCTCCCTCGGCACTAACAGTCAATGCATACATGGCAGCAATAATAGCATCATAGTCAAGAGCAAAGACATCAACACCAGCCCTCATGAGCTCAGCCCAGCGGGGGCGCTCAACATCCGCACCCATCTCCTCACGCCAAGCGTCGTCAAGGCGGGAGAAGCAGCGGTACGGGGTGTGGAACCTCCCACACGTCTGTCCCTTGCGGTCACCTGTACGAATGACATAAGAACAGCGGCCACTGCCCCCCGACGTCCCACGCTGAGCAAGCCACTCACGAAGCTGCTGGGTCGTCTGGGGACGCTGCTGCTGCTGGGAGCTCTGGCCCGAGCCAGTGCCTCCACTCCGACCTCCGCCGCCACCACTACCACCGCTCCGACCGCCACCGCCACCACCGCCACCACCGCCACCGCCGCCACCGCCGCCGCCGCCACTACTGCCACTGCTTCCTCCGCCGCCCCCGCCTCCACCGCCGACCCCACTCCCACCAGCGCTCCCGCCACCGCTCCCTCCAGCACCGCCTCCCCCCCCACCTCCCCCACCTCCTCCCCCCCCAGCGCCACCACCACCACCCTTGCCCCCCTTGCCCTTGCCGGTGCGGCGCCTCCCACCAGGAGCAGAAGCAGCGCCAACAGACTCAGCACCAAGGAAGTCAACAGCAGCAGCAGTAGCGTAGGAGGGAGCGAGGGGAGAGGGAGAACACCCCTCAAAGATGGGGGTGCGAGGAGCGCCACGAGCAGCACCGACAGCTACAATGCTCTTTTCGGCCGCGAGCAGCTGCTCCTCTAGGAGGGTGACTGTGAGCTCAGTGGGACAGCGAGCAAGGAAGTGGTCTCGAACTGAGCTGAGGGTGTCAGGGAGACGGGTGACTATGAAGTGGAGTGTCCAGTACAGTGGAGGGGGGTTCTTAGCGCAGAACTCGGTGGGAAGGGCGGCACGCAGGCGAGCATCACTAGTGCGAAGGTGGGTGATAAGATCGGCGACTGTAGCAAAGGTGGACAGATCGGGGAACAGGTACGGCAGCATGAGGCGGCTAAGCTCGGCTGTGGCAGGCGAGGAGTAGCGAGCAACGACAGCATCGTACAGGGCCTTAGCGGATTTGCAGTCGCCAAAATGCTCGAGCTCAGCTAGCGGCAGGTGACTGCGAATGGCTAGGCGAGCAGCTGCGTCACGAGTCTGCCAGTGGGAACGAACACTAAGCTCAGCTGTGGCAGGGGGGGCAGGTGCAGCACCAGACGCGTAATCATAGAGCGACACATGCTCCTTGCTATCGCTCAGAAGGAACAGCTGCAGGTCATCCAGCCAAGTGGCGAACTTCACAGGGCGGCCCTCAGCATCGAACGACAGCACGCGGATGGAAGCCATAGCGACAGTGCGACTGAGCAAAGGAAGCTGCCACAGCGCTGCAGGTAGGTAGCTCGGCGGGAAGCGCGGCGGGCGGGCGACGCGGCGAGCAGGTAGTGCGGGGGGCGGGCTACGAAGCGGGCAGCGCGGTGGGCAGGCGGCGCTGCAGGCGGGAAGTGCGGCGGGCGGGCTGCGAAGCGGGCAGCGGGGCGAGCGGGCGACGCGGCGAGCGGGCAGCGCGGCGGGCGGGCTGCGAAGCGGGCAGCGGGCGGGCGGGCGACGCTGCAAGCGGGCAGCGGGCGGGCGGGCGACGCTGGCGGGCGACGCTGCGACGCTGGCGGGCGACGCTGGCGGGCGGGCGGGCGACGCTGCAAGCGGGCAGCGAGGCGGGCGGGCGACGAAACGGGCAGCGGGCGGGCGAGCGACGCTGCAAGCGGGCAGCGAGGCGGGCGGGCGACGCTGCGAGCGGGCAGCGCGGCGGGCGGGCGACGCTGCGAAGCGGGCAGCGGGCGGGCGGGCGACGCTGCAAGCGGGCAGCGCGGCGGGCGGGCTGCGAAACGGGCAGCGCGGTAGGCGGGCGACGCTGCGAGCGGGCGGCTCGGCGGGCGGGCGACGCTGCGAGGGGCGCGCGAGGGCGCTAGCGAGGGCGCGCGAGGGCGCTAACGAGGGGCGCGCGAGGGCGCTAACGAGGGGCGCGCGAGGGCGCTAACGAGGGCGCGCGAGGGCGCTAACGAGGGGCGCGCGAGGGCGCTAACGAGGGGCGCGCGAGGGCGCTAACGAGGGCGCACGAGGGCGCTACGAGGCTAGGGCACGGGGTAGCGTGGTAACCGCATGCGAGCGGTGGTGGGCCCTTAAAAAAACGGTCGGTAGGTCCTAGGGACCTCCTGCTCTGAATACCATTTCAGAATAACTAGGCAAGAATGAATGCATTGAATGGAACAGTTGGGTACAAGTAGCAAACCCTAGTTGGGGTTGTACCCCATATTGGCTACCCCACTACAGCCTACGAACATATAACACATTACACTTTAACAATCCCCCCCGGCCAAAACCGGTGAGGTCGGCGACGGGAAGCATAAGCGCAAGGGCAAGGGCAAGGCCGGGACGGCTAAAGCGGCCACGTCGGAGACGAAGGGTCGGAAGGGTTCAGGCGTCCAAGTTGACGAAAAGATGGGGCTGGCCACGTCGGAGATGAAGTTTGGCAAGAAGAGCCGTTACGTCTGCCGGTCGAACGACAAGACCGATGCAGCCTACTGCATCGCCGTCGCCGTTTCATCGTTCGACGGCTACGTGAGCGAGGTCATTCTCGCCGAGTTCGCTGGGGTCGAGGCGAAAGTGATGGAGCGATATAAGGCGGACTGGGAGGTGGCGCGCTTGATTCAGTGCGGCATGTGGATGATCATGTGGAGCCGTGGCGCAAACGTCTTCCGCGACAGGTACGCTTGGCGAATGGTCGATTAGGTGCTCGTTTCGGTCGGTTTGCGGGGGTCGGTCGGTGACGATTTGCGTGCTGCGTTGCTTTGTTTCGCAGGTTCCAAGAGGTCGTCAACGAGTACAACAGGATAACCAAGGAGGGCCGTGCAGCTCTTAATGCAGCTCTTGGTCCGGCGCTGTGGTTCCTCGACCTGCCGGAGTCGACCGATCCCGAGAAGGCCGCCAAGAACAATATGGCGAGCGACATGATCGCGCGCGCGGCGATGTGTGCCGCCTACGCACCTGTGGTCGCGAAAGTCTCGCCCATCCCGGGCGTCACGTCGGAGCGGTTGTCGGCCATCCTCGCCGGAACTGCGTGCGCGGTGTGGTGCTTTTTGGAGACCAATGCCACGCCGGAACAAGCGGCAGGCGAAGGGGGGGCGGCAGCCACCGTCCGCGGAGCGTCCGCTGCGTTCGCGAGTCGGTGCAAGAGCGTCATCGAGGCGGTGCTTCAGCAGGCGTCCGCTCGGGAGGTCGGCGAAGAGGAGGTCGCCGAAACGGTGACGAAGGACCTGCAGGCGGCTGTGGTGAGGTCGCTGCCTGAGGGCGGAGAGGAGCGCGAGCACGACGAGCTTATCGCCCGTGTCATGATCGAGAACCTCGCCTTCTGGGGGGAGTGCTATGTCGGAGGCCCGAAGCTCAGGGCTCGCGGCGTCGCCTTGCCTGTCGACCCCGCAATGAGGATTATCGTTCGGGACAGGGGGGCGAGGGGCCAGCACAAAGGGAAGCAGGTCGTGGACGCATAGGTCGACAGCACACGACCGCATAGGGGGTCGTTCGTGAGGGGTCGACTGCACTTGTCGCGTTCGGCGATGGAGCACACGACGCTGGCTTTTCCGCCGACGACCTACCAGGCTCTCTGAGTTAGTTTAGGGCCGCGTTTGCGCGTTGTTGTGTCGTTATGTGTTGCCGAACAATGTTTAGAGACTGTGAACATGATAGCTGGTTGTTTTGTGAAGTCGGTTTGATGAGTCGGCTTGATGCATGTACAGGTACCGACAGCACGAGTCACACTAGTCGGCAATTCATTGGCTAATGTTGAGAGAAAAACATGCGGTTTCACAAGCACAAGTCGGACACCCTAGCTAAAAAGCCCACCCACAGCCCGCCCTTAGGCCACCCACAGCCCGCCATAAGCCCACCCACAGCCCGCCCTAAGGCCACCCACAGGCCGCCATAAACCCACCCACAGCCCGCACACAGCCCGCCCTCAGCCCACCCTCAGCCGACCACCGTCCGTCCACCCTCAGCCGCACCCCCATCAGCCCACCCCACAAGTGTAGGGTTCCGACGCACTTCCCTCAGCCCGCCCTCTTGCGTTTCCCGGGAGCGGAAAACTCCGCCGTCGCTCCCGCGGTCGCCTCCGCCTCCGAGCCGACCTTCGTGGCCTGCTTCCCACAAGTCGCCGAAGATCTTCTTTCCCCAATCAGGCTCCGCATAGCCCACCAAGACGACGCCCCACGCAACGGTCAGCTTCCTGTGCTGCTGCTTGTCCAGACCCTTGATGCCGGTCGACTTGCCGTCGGCTGTGGTGGGGGCCTTGATGGGCGCGGTTGCACGGAGGACCAAAAGAGCGTCGCTGAAAGTAGAAAGACCCGCCCGCCCCAGGTGGTCGAGTAATTTGACCACGGCGGCGGTGTCAGCGTCATTTTCGCTCCGCTGCAAGTTGTGCACGGCCTCCATGATCCGCCGCATCCGGCGAGTGCAGTTCTGCAGCGCATCGTTCTTCCCCGTCTCACCCTCCGGGGTCGTGGGACTTTCGTCGGTCGACGGTTGTCGGCCACGAGATTTCTTCGCCAACTTCGGCGAGGCCGCGGGCTTGTCGGCCTTTTCGACCTTGCAGATCATGCGCGTGTGTCTGACGAGGAATCGTTTCTCCTCATAGCGTTCGCGCAAGGGACGCGAGTCGAAGTTGGACGGGTAGTTCCACCAGCGCCAGGCAGCCTCGACCGTCTTGGACGTGCGCCAGGGATGGACGACGTTCACCTCGTACGTCAGGTCGTCGTCCTGTTCCTTCTCGATCTTGACGACCGCTGCCTTCTCGTCGGCGGTCATCGGCCTCGTGGTCGGCTCTGCCGGCGCAGTCGGCCGTGCCTCGGCCAGCTTGAGAGCCTGCATCAACCTCGCGATCTCCGCGTCCTTCTCCTCCAGCTGCTTCTGCATCCCAAGCTTCTCGATCGCGGCATCCTCTCTCTGGCGGTGCAGCATCATGGTGAGCTGGTCGACCTGATGGAAGGCGTCGACCCGCGCGCTGAATTCCTGCGATCCAAGGGGAATATGGTCGGCAATCCGTCAGCAAATGTAGCAGGACGACTAGTTTTACTGGTCGCTGGAACGTGCACGCCGTACCTCTTGGGTGTTCTCGGTCGGAGTATCGCGCGTGGCGATGGTCTCGAGGTCCACCCGGTTGACGTCCTTGGCCCATTTCTGAAAGTCGGGGTCGCGGCAGAGCTTGGAACTCTGGACGTACGGGTGCCACGGTTCGCGCATCAGCATGCACGCCAGATCCTCGGCGACGATTCGGTGGCCGAACTCGATGAGCGATTGCAGGAAGTGCACCCCGGCCGTGTTGGGCTCGCTCCCGGTGGCGCACCTTTTCGCCTGCGTGTCGAACACATACACAACACAATCAACAGGCGGTGGAATGTCGGCGTGGAAATGGTCGTCGGGAAGTCGGCCTCTCAGCCGTCAAAAATGCTCACCTTTTCTAGTTCCGCTTCAGCCCAGGGAAAGATATGCTGGGCGATGAGGGCCACCACCTTGGGGTCGGGCGTCACCAAGCTGCGGCCGAGGTGGTAGTCGCCGCGCTTGCCCGTGTAGCCGGCCTTTCTTAACACCGCCGCCTTCGGGATGGTCGTGATGTAGCTCTTCGCAAGCTTGTCGAGCGCCCAGTGGCCCAAGTCGGCGATGTCAGATCGCGGAACTCCGTCGTCGGCCAGCTCCTGTGCCCCACCTGCCCGGGCGGCGTGGGTGTTGCGCGTGATGAAGATGTTGTTCGCCCGCCACATGTCTTTCGTGAGCTTAGAATGGGATGAAGCCGGCAGCTCTTTTTGCGCCTTGTCGTTCCGAGCATGGAAGAGGTGCTTGTGATACCACATGTACGGAGTACTGAAGTCGAGGGGCGGCACAAGTCGACAGGTGGGCGAGCGGCTCATCTGGTCGTACACGAAGTGCATCCACAACAGAGTGTGACCGACGGCACACATCTCCTGCTCCAGGTGTCTCGCCGCGTAGCTGTGATGCAGACGAGCATCCTTGTTCGTCTTTGAGTTTCGTGACGCGACGACCATAACAACCGGCCGTCGCGTGGAGTGCTCGGGCGACGCGCTCCCCAATTTGTACAAGAACAAGTCGGGGAGCTCGATCGCCCTGAGACTGGCTCCGCGGAGAAGGGTGTGGTGACCCAAGAGGGTCATCGTCTTCATCAGCAGGAACCTCCACAGCGTCTGGGAGGGGGTGGCCGCGTTGGGTTCGTACGCCCGAGACGCCCAGGTCGGCAGAACCTTGAGCATGAGGTGGCGGAACTGGTCGGTGGTGTACGTATCGCCGAGCGTTCCGCGGTGCCGGTCGACGCAATCCCTGCACAACAGTTCCCAGGACGACTGGGTTAGCTGGGCGAACTGGGGACCAGGCGTGAACCGCGCGGGACGACTTGCCGATTCACCTGTCGTCCCTGTGCCACTTCTCTCTGACCATCGCGCGCACCTCCGAGCGGACCTCGGAGATGTCGTACATGATCTTGTGCGAGCTCCTTCACGCCGAAGAGCGTCCCCTCGACCTTGCAAGCCATCTGGAGCGCTTTGATGCGCATGAGCAGCATCGAAACGGTTGTCGCCTTCAGGGGCTGGACACGGACGTTGGGGTTCAGCTCCTCGAGCTCCTCGGCCTTGGCAATACCCGTCTCCCTCGCGATCGACAGAATGTACGCCCTGATCCGCGTAACGTTGACGCATGGACCGTGCATCCATCGAAGGTCGTCCTTGGCGGTGTGCCACTGATCGCCCATGTCGTCGTCGATGTACCTCCCTAGCTCGTCCTCGTGCTCCAGCACGGCTTTCCCCTTGACTCTGGCGGTTTGCTGTCTTGGAAGGTTCTTGCAGCACCATCTCCTGAACTCGAGCAGCGCCCGCAGGTACTGAACCCGAGTCGTTCTCGCCTCCAGCGTGTCCAGATGCCGGAGACCCCACATCATCCTCAGCAGTCTGTTTTTTTTAAGAGCTCTTTGTTGAGGTCGAAGGCGGCTTCCGCAAAGTCGTCGCGCGGGATGTTATGCAGGAAGTTGTCTTCCTTTTCGTCGGCAGCCAGCATGTCCTCTATTGTCAGGTAGTGGTAGTCGTTTTCTGGAAATGGTCCTATCGGCGGCGGCTGCTCGGTCGGCGAAGTCTCCCGCGGGTCCGGTGGGGGTGGGGGAGCCCCATTCGTCCCTGGCGGGAGGGGGATGGTCGGGTCGTCGAGAATGTTTGCCCTAGCGGCGTCTACGTCTACCTCCAAGGGCGTCTCGTTGAGGTCGTGAATCGCCCTGTTCACCGCCGGCGGCGTGACACCTGCCATCTCGGCGGGTAAAGTTGTTCCCGTCGGCTTCTAGTTGTCGCCGCGGTCACGCGGCGGTCGGTGTTCTGCCCACCAAAGGCGGTACTGCACAATCGATGCCGTGTATTGCCTTCGCACCTGGTCCCTAAAGGCCGCCCGTCTTTCGGCCCTCTCAGCGATCTCGGCGATCGTCAACTCCGCGGCAATGTCTGACAGTTCAGGAACTTCGGGCGGCGGATTGGTGTTCTGCCGATTGTTGTTCGGAGTGGTTGTGGTCGGCGGGGTAATGGTCGGCGGTGTGTTAAGTGGCAGGGTGTCGTTAGGCGGGGTGTCGTTCGGGGGGGGGGGGTTCGGGTTGTTGTTGGTCGGGGTGTTGTGCGGCGGGGTGGTGTTCGGGGGCGAGTTCGGCGGGGGGGTGTTGTTGGTCGGGGTGTTGTGCGGCGGGATGTTGTCAGACTGCTCCCTGGCCATTCGAGGCCGTATTCCTTCCTCCCACCCCTACCCCCACCCTTCCTCAGGCCGCGCTGCACCTACTAGGCGAGTAGCTGGATGCGCGCCGCCCGTATCCGATTCTGCACGGCTGCTCGGGCGTGCTGCGGCCGGGCCGCATGACGCTGCTGCTGGGGCCGCCAGGTTCCGGCAAGTCAACGCTCTTGCAGACGCTCGCGGGCTGTCCGGATAAGTCGCTCAAGGTGCGTTCTTTGTAACGGGGATGCGACTGAAGGCTTCATCGCGGAAAGGAAATGGCGCAGATCTGGTCGCCGATGGTGTTACAGAAATGTCGAGAAACCCACTAGAAGCTTATGGAAAAAGAGATGTTACGAGGCTGGGGGGTTCGGGGTATCATAAGGGTGGTGCCGGCCTAAGTTGGAATAGACGCGTCTACCGTATATGCGCCACCCGCCGTGGGAGTGGATTCAGAATATGCAACGACCGGGCAAAACCCTGGCAGGGGAGATTCTTCCCAGGTGTTGGCAGGAGATCCCTGGGAGGTCGCCAAAAATGCATGCACGGGAAAACGGCGGCGGAGTGGACGACGTGGCAGGGAGCGTGCATGCCTTCGGCCTTCCCGACTTTCCGGTGTCCGTGCCTTCTGGTTCGGGATTGCACGTCGGCGTGACGCGGCAGTGCTCGTCGCGTCGGCCGAGATGGCATCCCGGGGGATGGTTCCCGCCAACTGGCCGACCAATGCTTGGTCGCCGCGTGGACATTTGCCCGACGGGATGTTGGACGCGCGGAGTAGTGAGTTCGGGATGGGCGACATCTGGCTTGGCGCGCCAGCGCGGTGGTCGGCCAGCACGCACCGACGTGGTCAAGACATTGTCCGCGCCGATGAAACGTCGGAAGTCGTGGCACGCTGCCCGCGCTCGGCGGCGTCAACGTGTCGACCTCGTACCGAGGGTCCGTTGAGGAGTGCCAGCGGGGTATCTCTCAACGTGTTTACTTTTGGGGAAAGTATGTGCTGGCTACCTGGTTATTGAAAACCGTTCACATTTCATACTGGGTTGACTCGAACACTACTGCTTTCGGAAAAACCGTTCAAAACACATACCAGATTATGTTCACGACTCATACTGCCACTCGAAAGTTTCGACACGTGTCAATTTTTTACGCTGACAAACACTAAAACCCAATCGGAATGGGATGCGACTCGGGAGGCATCAACCCTAAACACAAGGTGGGGGGCCATTTTCAGGTGCGATCTCTACAGTACAGGAATTGTATTCATGTGCGATCCAAATATGTTGCACCACTGTACACACGTGCTGCAACAGTGCCATGTGCAGACGCCACTCACATCTTGTTCAGCTGACGGATTTTTTTTCGTCTCTGACAAATTCTGACGGAAGTCAAACATACAACATGGCCAGACCAAACTACCCGAAGCTGTTAAGGCTACCCGAAAAAAAACATACTATAACCCCTAGAGAACCTGGAAGCAGTTTCGGGGGAGATCAACCCTAAACACGGGAACCTCCTGGTGTTTAGGGTTGATGCCTCCCGATTCGATTCCGTTCCGATTGGGTTTTATTTTTTTGTCACGAAAACCTTACGGAGGCATCAACCCTAAACACCAGGAGGTTCCCGTGTTTAGGGTTGATCTCCCAAAATTGGGTCCAGGGTCACTAAAGCTTTTAGTTTTGTTTTTCGGGGCATGTCTTAGCACTTCCTGGTAGCGTCGGTAAACGAAGAGTGTGTGAGCGCATTTATTTCGCATTAGTTTCCCTCAGCGAGTACAGATTTGAGTGGCGTATCTCTCCAAGGCAGATTCTGGCACTTGTCTACAGTTCGCAACAGAGACTTGGAAATATGCGCCGGGATCACACCTGAATACATTTCCTGTACTGTAGAGATCGCACCTGAAAATGGCCCCAAGGTGGGTTCCCGTGTTCAGGGTTGATCCCTCCCGAAAATGCATCCAGCTTCCCTAGGGGTTTAATTTTTTTGGGACACGTGTCAAAAACTTTTGCCTGCAGTACCAACTTTGAACATAATGTGGGAGGTCGCGTGAACGAAATGGCAATGAGTCGCACTGATTGAGTAAACCTTGTGACTAAATTTGAGAGAATCCTAAAACGATAGTAGCCAGCACATACTTTCCCTTACTTTTGGGCCTGGACGGACGCTTCCATCCAAGCCCTCCAGGCACCAGTCAGCCCACCATTTCGCCTTCACCTTCCTTTTCCAGCACTCGACTCACAACCAGCATCCCCTTCCCCAGGCCCCGCTCTTGGTCGCTATAGCTCTGAACGACTTCCTTCCGCCACTGCATTAACTGCCTCTAATCGCTCTCATTTCGCCTGAAGCGTTGTCGTTTGCGGGACCATTCTCGTCCCGCACCGCCTGCGCCTCGAGTGCGACAAGTCTGGGCGAATCCGTATTGTCTCCTGTTCATTCCTCCGCGGTCAGATTGCAAAGCGCTCTCTTGAACGCATGCCTACAAAATGCATGGCGAATTCGGAATTAGCAGATATGTTTCCGATCAACGATTCTCAGTCGCTTCAGATTTCCAAAGCTTCCTTTTCGTACTCAATCATTCGAGTTTCTCGGTGTTCTCTATACCGCTCGAACCGACGTGAACAGCCATGGCATCGAAGAACATCCTCGTTATAGCCGTCCTCGCAATGCTCCTCGTGGGCCTCGCGGTTGCGGACAATCAGGATCGCAAGCGGGACGGCACGGGCAACCAGGACCGCGACAGGAAGCGCGACGGCTCGTGCGCCAAATCCGGCACGTGCAGCGGCAACAAGAACGGCGGCAATCCCGGTGGTCGCGGCGGCAATGGCGCTGGGAGGAATTCGGGGAAGAAAGGAACGGGGACTTGCAATAAGAGCGGCACTGCGAGTTGCGACGGCAGCGGGCGGAAGAGCGCGGGTGATGGCGAGCGCGAATGCCGTGGCGGCTGCTGACGTGGCGGCTGCTGACGTGGACGTGCAGTCGTGTGACGGGGCGAAGCAGGCGGGGAAGCTGATGAGCGGATTGCGGAAGAGCGGATTCAACAAGTTCGCCGCGGCGCTGCAGCAGACAGGTGCGCTGCAGCAGACAGGTGCGCTGCAGCAGACAGGTGCGCTGCAGCAGACAGGTGCGCTGCAGCAGAAATGCGCGCTGTGCGCCGCTGCTGGCGCTGTCCCTTTCCTGCCGCTATCGATGTCCCTCTCTCTCTCCCTCCCCCTCTCCTCTCCCTCCCCCCCCTCCCCCTCCCCCTCCCCCTCCCCCTCCCCCTCCCCCTCCCCCTCCCCCTCCCCCTCCCCTCTCCCTCTCCCTCTCGCTCTCCTTCTCCCTCTCCCTCTCCCTCCCCCCCCTCCCCCTCTCCCTTTTCCTCTCCCTCTCCCTCCCCCTCCCCCTCTCCCTCTCCCTCTCTCTCTCCCTCTCCCTCTGCCTCTGATCTGCCTAAGCCGTTCTCTCTCTCCCTCTGTCCTTGTTCTGTCCCTATCCCTCCGCGTCTCTGTGTCCCTGTCCTTGCGTCACCTGCCATCTCGCTTGCCCTTTCGCCGGCCACGCCCCACCATGCACCTGTGACAGCCTGTTGTTGTGTGCGGGCGGGGTGACGCTGCTCGCCATCCCACCCGTCTTCTCACTTGCCCTCTCATCTTCCGTTCCCTTTTGCCCCACCATTTACCTGTGACGGGTCTGGCGGCGGAGTTTCCAGACGTGATGTGTGGCCAGGGGTGCGGGGTGACGCTGCTGGCCGTCCCATCTGACATCCCACCTGGCCCCAACTGCTGCAACCCCCATCTACCCCACCCTGGCAGGTCTAGCCGCGGAGTTCCCGGAGGTGATGTGTGGCCAGTTGGGCGGAGTGACGCTGCTGGCCATCCCCGATGCGCCCATGGGGCAGCTGCCTCCTCCAGTGCGAGGGGACGCGCTGATGCTCCGGGAGCAGCTCATGCTGCACGTCGTCAAGGGCGCCCGCCCCTACTACCGCATGCAGGCGCGCGGCAAGAACTACAAGGTGACAGCCAGCATTCATTGCATGTATCTCCCCACGCCCCCTCGCCCTCCATCCACGCCCCACCCTCCCTCTCTCCCACACCCTTCGCCCTCCCTCTCTCCCCCATTCCTCGCTCTCACTCTCCCCAATCCTTCTTTTCGCGGAACCCCTCTCCCTCACAGTTCGCCTGTGCTGCGGGGGCAGGCTCAGGCCGGCTGGTGAAGGCGAGTCAGGGCGACGCCCCCCTGGTGCTGCGAGTGGGCAGGGGGTGGGGCAGGCAGCAGCAGTGACGCGCCCCAATGCCTTCCGGTGCACGGGGGGGGCGGTGCACGGAGTGAACTGCGCGCTGGGCTTGGGGCGCATGGGCAGGCCGGGCAGGCGCGTGCCTCTGGGGCAGTGCCTGCGCAACGGCAGGGATAAGGATGACGACTAGGATGAGGGGGGAAGTGGGAGAACAGGGATGGAGGGAGGCTAGCGGAGTGGGAAGTGCCTCTGGGGCAGTGCCTGCGCAACGGGAGCGACCAGGATGATGACTAGGTTGTGTGAGGGGATATGGGAGTACTGAGTGGGAGAACAGGGGTGGAGGCGGTTGGTAGAAAGGTGAGGCGAGGCCGAAGCATGGGTGGGTGCATGCGTAGTTGGCAGGGGTAAGCACTGGGTGCTGGCTGATCCTCCAACCATATGAAGCTGTTGACTGGAGGACATGGTGCACAGGGGTGAGGTGAGGGTGGGATTGGCGGAATGGTTGTTGAGGAAAGCAGGGTGGGTGCAGACATGTCAGGGGTAAGCACTGGTGCGGTTCAAATAGTGTGCAAGCAATGATACTGTGTGAAGCTATTGGGTGTTGAAGAGGGTGTACAGGGGTGATGAGGGATTGGCGTTTGAGGAAGCCAGGATGGGTGCAGTAGAGTTTGCATTGCATGTGTCTAGCAGGGTTTGTTCAGTGAGTTTTTCTGGCGTGTGTTTTCATGGCTTCGTGATGTGTTTCCTAATGTTTTCTTGCTTTTTATAGTTCACTGTAGAGAGCTCAATTTTCGTTTTAGCTGTTGTGCTTCGTGCACTGGACTGGTATTGTCGAGTCCATTGCGAGCTACGGTATCTCATTTCTTCTCTTGTAAAAGACAACAGCTACGGTGACATGTTTCGTTTAAACGTTCCCTGTTATGAGTGGCATACCCTATTCTCCTGTCCGTAGGACCCTCCTGCAAGAGGTTTCTGGGTACTACCGTACTGTACATGTGGGTCAGATGATATTTTTCTTATTGACGGGTTCTAACAGCTAAAACCAGGGCAGTTCTTGTACGCAAATCAAAGGTACCCTGCATCGAGGATGACTGCGACCACAAGCCAATTTCCAATCGGAAGCGCGAACAGTCAAGAAGAACTCGAATTCACCGCATGTCCGATCCCCGTGTGCCGCGAACTGATTCTCGTTTGTCCACCTGATCACGAAAGAAAGGTAAACTATATCCCAGATCCTTACTTTCAGATTTCTCTCATATTTACCCGCAAATTTACTCAAAAAGTCCCACTTTCTGGGATTTGGCTCACGCGAGGCCCAAATTATGTTCAAAACTGGTCCTGCGGGGTTTAAATCTCGACACGTGTCTACTTCACACCAACAATTTTTGACGGGGCACAAAAAATATAATACCCCTAGGGAAACGGGACACATTTCGGGAGGGATCAACCCTAAACACGGGAACCCGCCCGGTGTTTAGGGTTGATCCCTCCCGAAATGTGTCCTGTTTCCCTAGGGGTATTATGTTTTGTTTGCCCCGTAAAAAAAAATTGGTACGAAATGGACCCGTGTCGAATTTTTGGCCCCGCAGGACCAGTTTTGAACATACTTTGGGCCTCGCGTGAGCAGAATTCCGCAAAGCTGGACTTTTTGGGTAAACCTGGGGGTAAATATGAGAGAAATCTGAAAGTAAGGATCTAGGATATAGTTTCCCCGAAAGGAATTCTCACACCACAACGCAACAACGTCGCAGGCGGTCAAGAACTCAGCACCACCGATAAATTGCCACGTCGGATGCCCCATCGAATTTCTGAAGTGACAGAATCCAGCGGCGTCCATCCAACGGCTCCGTGCGTCTTGACTCTTGATAGGCCATTTGGTTCGTTGCGCACGCCCCAACACAAACCGAAGGACCATCATCATCCTTCGCTTGCCGCGATGTGTACTGCACACTCCACAAGGGGTACTACACCCGCCCTCCCCCCCTTCAACACTTCTCCAGCTTGCTTTTTCGTACTTGAGTATTCCCACTGGCTCACATACTGTGGCTGAAGAAATTCCAGCTTTCACTGGCGTTCGCCTCGCCATGCCGGGCGACATTCCCGTCAGTGAGTGTCCTTTTCCGTCGTTGCTAGGTAGCCGCAATGGCAAGATTGATGGCCCAACCAAAAAACTGCACCCGTGAGAAGTCGTTTTGTCACGAGCTTTATTGGCTCGCATCGCAGTGCGGTGTGTGGGGTGCCAATAAGTGGATTGAAAACGGTGGTTGAAATGTACGACCACGTCCCTAGAATTCTGTATCTGCGAACATTGCCTCAGTAAAGTATTCCGGTGATACCAACTCTTTGAAATGCGAACGTTTACGACGCACGCGCTAGCTTACAACTGAACGAAGAGACCACCCAGAACTTCGCTGTCACAATATTTCAGTCATTGTTTCCGTCCTGGTCCTATCCCGTTGCGCTCGTCGCAGGCAAACGCGATTCTGCGGCGGCGGACCCCGCGGCATGGGCGCAGCTGCAGCAGCTCCCGCCGTCCGAACGCCTGCACACGGCGGTGCTCCCCAAAAGCGGAAGCTTGCAGGGCGCGGGCGCACCGACCGACGGCGGAAAGAAGGGGGCGGTGGCGCCAGAGCTGGCGCAAGTGGACCTGCGCGCGCTGAGCCACGCGCAGCGGGAGCGGCTGGTGGAGCGCGCGCTGGAGACGCTGGATCAGGACAACGAGGCGTTCCTCACGAAGCTTAAAGCCCGCCTCGACCGGTGAGGTTCTCTATGAGACGAAAAGGACAGGCCGCCGCGGAACCGCGTGCGAGGAGACGTTGGTTGAGACAGTCGGAGGATCGCTGGGAGGCCTGGAGCCGAGCCGCGTTACGCATCCTCTACAAAAAACGCAAGGACGCAATCTGTCACCAAATCTTGAGAGGAATTGCATTGGCGGGTTGCAGCGAGATCATGTAAAGTGGGAATGTGAGGATTACACGAAGGTTTTCATAGACATGCTTGTTTTTAAAAAGCACTTTGCTGTGCGTATTCTCACCTTCCCTCTTCCTCTCCCCTCCCCTCGCCCCCTTCTACTCCTCCCTTGCACCGCGCCGCCCGACGGCATGCAATGGCGTGCAGCGTGGGGCTGAGCGTGCCGTCGGCGGAGGTGCGCTTCGAGGACGTGAACGTCGAGGCGGGCGTGTACGTCGGCACGCGCGCGCTGCCCACGCTCCTCAACTTCACGCGCAACTCGATCGCCGTGAGTCGCGCTCGCTCGCCGTGAGTCGCATTCGCTCGCCGTGAGTCGCGCTCGCCGCGAATCGCTCTCGCTCGCCTTGAATCGCAATCGCCGTGAGTCGCGCGCGCCGTGAGTCGCGCGGGCCGCTTCTCGCGCATTTCGCGGTTGCATGCGTTCATCCGCGCTTCACTTTCTGATCTCCCGATCTGGCTTTTTCGCCGTATTCCTTCCTCCCACCCCTACCCCCACCCTTCCTCAGGCCGCGCTGCACCTACTAGGCGTGGAGCTGGATGCGCGCCGCCCGTATCCGATTCTGCACGGCTGCTCGGGCGTGCTGCGGCCGGGCCGCATGACGCTGCTGCTGGGGCCGCCAGGTTCCGGCAAGTCAACGCTCTTGCAGACGCTCGCGGGCTGTCCGGATAAGTCGCTCAAGGTGCGTTCTTTGTAACGGGGATGCGACTGAAGGCTTCATCGCGGAAAGGAAATGGCGCAGATCTGGTCGCCGATGGTGTTACAGAAATGTCGAGAAACCCACTAGAAGCTTATGGAAAAAGAGATGTTACGAGGCTGGGGGGTTCGGGGTATCATAAGGGTGGTGCCGGCCTAAGTTGGAATAGACGCGTCTACCGTATATGCGCCACCCGCCGTGGGAGTGGATTCAGAATATGCAACGACCGGGCAAAACCCTGGCAGGGGAGATTCTTCCCAGGGGAAATGTGGTATAAAACCTTCTGACTAGCTCAGCATCATCTCTAGTCCCCATGACGGGTGGTAAGGAGGCCGAGCAGACATCGGCGCTCGCGGGAGTAGTGGGGAATGGCGGGAACTGACGAAAGCAGGATTGAAAACTAAGAATGACGTCTTTAGGGTTGTGCTGGCTGGTAAGTAGCGTGAGGTTAGCTGGGGGCTCGTCTTGAGTTAGAGTTCGTAGATGGAGTCGGGTTCAATGCGATATAGTTGTGACTTTATCCGCATACAACTTTGACGCCACATTTTGTCCTGCTCGATGGCGGATTTGCATTTCTAGTTCGGCGAAATGCTTATGCGGAAACCCGCGTCTTATCACGTTTGCATTTTCATTTTCCGGACAGCCCAAAAAAGTTCGTGCTTATGGGACAGATCTGTTATACGCTTCGGGGCGTGAGCGTATATGCCAACATAGCTCTGGGCGACCTCGATTGAGGCTCAAAACCCTTGGCGCTTCTTCCCCTCCCCCCCTTTTCCTCCCTCCTTCTCCTCCTTTCCCCTTTACCACAGGTATCGGGCAGCGTGACCTATAACGGGCATGCTCTTAACGAGTTCGTACCAGAGCGCACAGCAGTGTACGTGCCGCAGAACGACGAGCACATCGGCGAGATGACCGTCCGGGAGACTCTTGACTTCTCCGCGCGCCTGCAGGGCCCGGGGCTCCGGAAAGGTGCGTGTGTGTGCATGTGGGGGGAGGGGGGAGGAGGGGGGGGGGAAATGTGTGGTCAGAAAGTGGGTGTCTGCGCGAGCTGCAAACCCTCGACTTTCTCCGCGCGCCTGCAGGGCCCGGGCTTCAGGAAAGGTGGGTGTGTGTGCGTGTGTGTGCGTGTGGGGGGGTTGATGTTTAGCAAAAGGGAGACCCTCGACTTCTCCGCGCGCCTGCAGGGGCCGGGGCTCAGGAGAGGTGGGTTGAGTTGTGCGTGTTGGGGGAGGAGGGGTGGGCCTTCGGAAACGTGCAAGTGTGGGGGCCGGAGGGGTTGGGATTTAAAAATGTGCGGCCACGCCCTGTGTGTACATCCTACCTTTCATTTCCAACAGTCTTCTCTCACCACCTCATTTGTCCCCCCCGTCCCTCCAACTGCTCCCTCCCTACCCACATCTCAGTACCCCATTTCTTCCCCCTAACACCCCTCCCCCCCCCTCCCTCCCTGGCGCAGACCTGGTGGCGGAGCTGGAGAGGCGAGAGGCGGAGCAGGGCATCGTGCCGGACCCCACCATGGACGCCATCATGAAGGTATGGCGCTCTGTGCTAGGTGACAGGGATCAGATTCAGACGGGGTAGTTTGGGTCTGGGATTCGGAGCAGGGCATTGCGGTGACCCCACTGTAGGCGCCGTCATGAAGGTATGGAGTGTGTGCTGGGTGGCAGGGATCAGGCTCAGGTGCGACAAAGGTCAAAGGGCTTGAAGGTCAAAGGGCTTGAAGGTCAAAGGGCTTGAAGGTCAAAGGGCTTGAAGGTCAAAGGGCTTGAAGGAAGATCTTGTTGTTGCCCCATCTTCTGGAGATCTGCTTCGTGGATCTGCTCCGCCGGTGTGTCTTTGCATGCGCTGTGCTCCTTAGCTCTTCCCACTCCATCTTCATCTGTCTACAATGCAGGGCCGTGCTCCCTTGGTTCTGAATGTCCGTGCGACGTATTCTCTCACTGGCCCCCACCACGTCGCCCCTCCCTCCCCCCTGCAGGCGATGGCACTGGAGGGCAATCCCACCAATGTCATCACGGATTATGTGCTCCAGGTGAGGATGGTGGTGAGGTGAGGCTATGTGCTCAACGTGAGGCTATGTGCTCAAGATGAGGCGGTGAGGATGGTGGTTATGCTCGTGAGTTGAGGGATTCTGATCAAGCTCAGTGCTGAGGCGTGTGATGGTGAGGTGATGCTCATTCCACATGCCGATGTTTATGACAGGTGGTGTGGTAACAATCTGGGAGGTTGGTACCAGGCGTAAGGTTTTTTTAGACAAGCTGAAGTGTTCCGGGTCACAGCAGTGCCAGGTGAGTAGGTAGGTAGCAAGTGAGTGCTTAACATGCCGCAAATTGAACTCACATGTTGGACCACTCTCTCTCCTCCCTGTTCCCTCGCTTCTCCCCCTCTCCTCCCCCCTTTCCTTCTGTCAGATCCTAGGTCTAGACGTCTGTGCCGACACAGTGGTAGGCAACAACATGCTACGAGGCATCTCAGGCGGGCAGAGGAAGCGCGTCACCACAGGGGTATCCCTCGTGGGCGGGCAGCAGGTGCTGCTGATGGATGAGATCAGCACGGGCCTAGACTCCTCCACCACGTTCCTCATCACGCGCTGCCTGCGCCACCTCACGCACCTGCACTCCGCCACCACGCTCGTCGCCCTCCTGCAGCCCGCCCCCGAGACCTACCACCTCTTTGACGACGTGCTGTTGCTCTCAGAAGGCCACGTGGTGTTCCACGGGCCCAGGGAGGACGTGCTGCCATTCTTCTCCCGCCTGGGGTTTGAGTGTCCGGAGAGGAAGGGCGAAGCGGATTTCCTGCAGGAGGTGACGTCGATGAAGGACCAGGGGCAGTACTGGAGGGCGGGAGCAGCCGGTGTAGATGGGAAGAGTCAGCCGTACCACTACGTGCCAGCGCAGGCGTTTGAAGCGGCGTTCAAAGAGACGCAGATTGGCAAGGCCACTGCTGCCCACCTCTCGGTACGTGCCGAGCGCTGATTTGCACACACACATCTTTTCCCAAAGCTCCATGCTTGTACCTTAGCCCCACACCTTGTGCCATTTTTTCATCCCGACTCATTCCCCATCCTTCAACTCCTCACTTCTACCTCAATCAGGTGCCCTTCTCCAAGGAAAAGAGCCCTCCCAGCGCCCTCGCCCACAAGCGCAGCGCCCTGCCCACCTCCGACATGTTCCGCGCCGTCTACTTCCGCGAGTGGCTGCTCATGCGACCCCCCTTCACCCCACCCCACTCCACCCCCCACCAGGTGCCCTACCCCAAGGAGAAGAGCCCTCCCGGCGCACTGGTGCACAAGCGCCACGCCCTGCCCACCTCCGACATGTTCCGCGCCGTCTTCGCACGCGAGTATCTCCTCATGCAGCGCAACTCCATCCTCTACGCAGCGCAGACCATCCAGATCATCCTCGTGGCCCTCGTCACCATGACCGTCTTCTTCCGCACCACGCTCACCGTCTCCCTGCAAGACGCCAACTACTACCTGGGAGCTACATTCTTCGGAGTGGTCATGATGCTCTTTAATGGCTTCACAGAGCTCCCGCTGGTGAACTTCCGCCTGCCGGTGTTCTACCGGCAGAGGGACGCGTTTCTGTACCCTGCGTGGGCGTGGGCCGTGCCCCTAGAGCTGCTCTCCATGCCCTTCTCTGCGTGGGCCTCCATCATCTGGACCGCCTTCACGTATTATGGCATCGGCTTTGCTCCGGAACCAGGCAGGTGAGTGAATGAATGGGCAAGTGGTTGGGCGTGGGCCGTGCCTCTTGAGCCGCTCTCCATGCCCTTCTCTGCCTGGGCGTCCATTATTTGGACGGCTGTCACCTACTATGGCATCGGCTTTGCACCGGAGCCAGGCAGGTGAGCTGTGAGGCACGCAAAGAGGATGTGTGTGGTTATGATGCTCTTCAACGGATTCACGGAGCTTCCGCTGGTGAACTTCCGCCTGCCGGTGTTTTATCGACAGAGGGACGCGTTTCTGTACCCCGCGTGGGCGTGGGCCGTGCCCCTGAAGCTGCTCTCCATGCCCTTCTCTGCCTGGGCGTCTGTCATCTGGACCGCCTTTACATACTACGGCATTGGCTTCGCACCAGAACCGGGCAGGTGAGTGGATGAAGTGGGTGAGTGAAGAAATGGGTGAGTGAAGAAATGGGTGAGTGAAGAAATGGGTGAATGAAGAAATGTGTGAGTGAAGAAATGTGTGAGTGAAGAAATGGGCAGGCACTTGGGCGTGGGCCGTGCCTCTGGAGCTGCTCTCCATGCCCTTCTCTGCCTGGGCGTCCATCATCTGGACTGCCTTCACCTACTATGGCATCGGCTTTGCACCGGAACAGGGCAGGTGAGTTGATGAACCAGGCAACTGAGCTATGTATCGGGCAGGTGAGCGAATGAGCTGGCAGGTGAGTGAAGAAATGACAGAGTGATTGGGTGTTGGATCTATTTCCACTTTATAATGACCTCCCTCATCCACCTTCGTATTACTCTACTCGCACACCTTCCACTTTCCCGTTCCCTCCACCAGTCCACTTTATGGCATGCATGGCTCCTTGATATTCTTCGTTTCTCTCACCCAACTTCATCTTCTCATACACCTTCCCCTCTTCCCTTCTCCTTCCTCCACTCTCCACCTTCCCTCCCCCCCACAGGTTCTTCATGCAGATGTTTCTATTCTTCCTCATCCATCAGGTCTCCATATCGCTCTTCCGCCTCATAGGAGCGCTGGGCCGCAACATGGTCGTATCCGCCACCTTTGGCTCATTCGCTGATATCCTCCTCGTCCTCATGGGCGGTTTCGTCATCGCTAAAGGTGGGTGAGGCTGGCTATAACGCGTATGCAGGGAGTGGTAACATTGGGCCGCAACATGGCCGTGTCCGCCACCTTTGGCTCGTTCGCTGATATTCTTCTCGTCTTAATGGGCGGTTTCGTCATCGCTAAAGGTGGGCCAGGCAGGCTTATAACGCGTATATAGGGAGGGGGAGCACTGGGCCGCAACATGGTGGTGTCCTGTCCGCCACCTTTGGCTCGTTCGCCGACATCCTCCTCGTCTTGATGGGCGGCTTTGTAATCGCAAAAGGTGGGTCTGGCTGGCTATAACGCGTATGTAGGGAGTGCGAGTGCTGGGGTGCAACATGGTCGTGTCCGCCACCTTTGGCTCGTTCGCCGACATCCTCCTCGTCTTAATGGGCGGGTTCGTCATCGCTAAAGGTGGGTGGGGCGCGCTTATAACGCGTATGCAGGGAGTGGAACTGCTGGAGTGCGACATGGTGGTTCCCACCACCTTTGGCTCATTCACTGCTATCCTCCTTGTGCTGCTTGGCGGGTTGGTCATCTCTAAAGGTGGGTGGAGCATGCGTAATATGCGCCCTTGTAACACGTATGCAGGCTGTGGAAGCAGCAGGGGACCACAGCACACTCAAGCTCCGCATGTTGGCTCTCTCATGCTTTTCTCTCAATAAGTCTGTGAAGAGCTGGGGAGCTCAGGTGCCCCTTCTTTCCTCTCTCATCACCCCCATCTCCCTCAAGGCCCTTTGCTTACATGACATATCCATCGCAAATGTATGCATCCGGGCCACAAGTATCCATGGCATGTGTATCCATGCACACAGAATCGCACCGCTGATGCCTCGGCCTGCGGCACTCTCCTCTCTTCTCTTCTTCCCTCCCCATCCCATTCCCAGCCGCCGTTCATGATGTGTGGGTCTGGGCGTACTGATCCTCCAAGGGAGGGTCTGGGCGTGCTGACCCTCCCTTCATGTACAGCCTGCAAGCCCCCTTCATCTCACTCTCCTGGTCGTCCCTCCACGCTTTATCTCTCTTCGCCTTCCCACTTAATCCTCTTTCTCTTCCTTCCCTTTTCTTCCTTTCCCTCCATTTTCCCCCGTTTACAGCTGACATCAGCAACGTGTGGATCTGGGCGTATTGGATCTCGCCTCTCATGTACGCGCAGAACGCCCTCGCTGTCAACGAGTTCCTCTCGCCCCGCTGGAACGTCGTGAGTGCTCTTGGGTTGCCCATTCCTCCCCTCTGCTATAGTACTGGCATTGGGGTGCCCGTTCCGTCTGTTACGAGTGTTCATCCAACTGCTGACATGCACACACACTCCTGAGGGCATGCATTGCTGTCCTTGCATGGCCTTCGTGCGCCTGCTGCTGTCATGCCATTCCCCATACACCCTCATAAGTGCTGTTGAAAATTGTTCCCATGCGTCGCTGTATGCAGTCTGCAGGTGTTTCAGGACACCCTCTCATCCATCCCCGATCGCCCCTCATCCATTTCTCCCCTCCCTCCCCTTCCCTCGTGCGTGCCCACCCCATGGCCACCATGGGTCAGGCGTTTTCTGAAGAGCCGCTCATGTTGTCTGAAGAGCCGCTCATGTTGTCTGAAGAGCCGCTCATGTTGTCTGAAGAGCCGCTCATGTTGTCTGAAGAGCCGCTCATGTTGTCTGAAGAGCCGCTCATGTTGTCTGAAGAGCCGCTCATGTTGTCTGAAGAGCCGCTCATGTTCTCTGAAGAGCCGCTCATGTTCTCTGAAGAGCCGCTCATGTTGTCTGAAGAGCCGCTCATGTTGTCTGAAGAGCCGCTCATGTTGTCTGAAGAGCCGCTCATGTTGTCTGAAGAGCCGCTCATGTTGTCTGAAGAGCCGCTCATGTTGTCTGAAGAGCCGCTCATGTTGTCTGAAGAGCCCCTCATGTTGTCTGGAGAGCCGATCATGTGTTCTTGATCGCCCCTCATCCATGTCTCCCCTCCCTCCCCCTCCCTCGAGTGTGCCCGTCCCTCTGCAGTCAGCAGGCCCGCTATTCCCCCCCACGGCCACCATGGGTCCGGGGTTTTTTTTGGAGAGCCACTCACGTGTCCCCATCCTTCCCACCCCTCCCTTTTCCCATCTGGCCTTCTTCCTCTGTGCAGTCAGCAGGCCCGCTATTCCCCCCCTCAGCCACCATGGGGCAGGTGTTTCTGGAGAGCCGCTCATGTCCCCCCATCCTTCCATTCCACCCTGTCTTTTGCCCCTCTCGCGTCCGTCCTCCCCCTGTGCAGTCAGCAGGCCCGCTATTCCCCCCCTCAGCCACCATGGGGCAGGTGTTTCTGGAGAGCCGCTCATGTCCCCCCATCCTTCCATTCCACCCTGTCTTTTGCCCCTCTCGCGTCCGTCCTCCCCCTGTGCAGTCAGCAGGCCCGCTCTTCCCCCCCTCAGCCACCATGGGGCAGGTGTTTCTGGAGAGCCGCTCATGTCCCCCCATCCTTTCATTCCACCCTGTCTTTTGCCCCTCTCGCGTCCGTCCTCCCCCTGTGCAGTCAGCAGGCCCGCTATTCCCCCCTCAGCCACCATGGGGCAGGTGTTTCTGGAGAGCCGCTCATGTCCCCCCATCCTTTCATTCCACCCTGTCTTTTGCCCCTCTCGCGTCCGTCCTCCCCCTGTGCAGTCAGCAGGCCCGCTATTCCCCCCCTCAGCCACCATGGGGCAGGTGTTTCTGGAGAGCCGGTCGATGCCCACGGACGGGAAGTGGGTGGGCATTGGCGTGGCAGCACTCATCGGCTACATCCTGCTCTTCAACCTCCTCACCGTCGTCGCCCTCGCCTACCTCGATCGTAAGCTTTCAACACCCACTCTCCACTTTGCCGATGTCTCATGGCCTCCATATACCCTGCTCTTCAACCTCCTCACCATCCTCGCACTAGCCTTTCTTGATCGTAAGCTCTACATTCGTCACTTTATTTCATTCCCTGCTCACTCATCTGCGTTATCCTCCACTCTTCAACCTCCTCACCATCCTCGCCTTTTCTCTTTATCATGAGCTGGGAGCCGCCCACTCCCCGACGTCCATTCGCTCCCTTCCAACCACTCATTCTGTGTTGCAATCTGGCCGTGCTTCCCCTACTGCGGCTCTCCCCCCTCTTGCGCCCCTTTCTGCATGTGCGCAGCGTGGGAGTGACCGCAAACAGTGGTGTTGGGAGAGCCAATAGAAACAAAGCACGCGTCTCTTGCCCTCTCACCCTTCCCCCCCTTCCCACCCCTTTTTGACTGTTTGTCGCTGCAGCATGGGACCGGCCGCAGCCGGTGGTGTCGGAGGAGCAGCTAGAGACAAAGCACACCGCCCGTACAGGCGAGGTGGTAGTTGCAGCGGGCGGCAACAGAAAGCGGTCCACACGGCAGGAAGCTGGCAGCGCTCTGGACCGCTACTGCACCAGCCACACCGGGAAACAAGGTAAGGGCTTGGATAGGGTTATGGGCACGGGCATGAGCAGCAATCTGGACCGTTACTGCACCAGCCAAACAGGGGCCAAAGGTGAAGGCTTGGAGAGTGTGAGGCAAGACGTGAGTGGTCTTGTGTGAGGTTGAGGTGGAGTGGTTGATTAAGCTGAGCGGCATGCTGCGGCTGACAGTGCCCGCGACCACTACTGCACAAGTCACATGGCTTGTTGAGTGAGAGATCAGGACGGGGAAGGGCAAGGGCAAGGGCTACCAGCAGTGTTCTCTTCACGCTCCTGCGCTAGCCATACTGCATTGCGAGGTGCATACGAGGTGCTGCACCAGACTATTGCCCGCAATGCCTTTCCTCACTCAACTTTTCGAAATCCTCCGACTTTCAAACCCAGCCGCCTCACCTCCTTTTTTTCCTCCTCCGCTCTCGCCCCTTCTCCTCTCCAGACGTGGAGTCACAGGGTGAGTCAGCCTCAGGCAAGCACGGCATGGTGCTGCCATTCTCGCCGCACTCGCTCTCCTTCCACAACGTGAGCTACTGGGTCGACATGCCCGCTGAGATGCGCGCGGAGGGCGCCCCCCCCGACGCGCGCCTGCAGCTGCTGCGCAACGTCTCCGGCGCGTTCCGGCCGAAAGTGCTGACGGCGCTGGTGGGCGTGTCGGGCGCCGGCAAGACCACGCTCATGGACGTGCTGGCAGGCAGAAAAACAGGCGGGTACATCGAGGGGGACGTGCGCGTGTCGGGGTTCCCCAAGGTGCACTCCACGTTTGCACGCGTGGCGGGGTACTGCGAGCAGAGCGACATTCACACGCCGCAGGTGACGGTGCACGAGAGCCTGCTCTTCTCCGCGTGGCTGCGCCTGCCGGGTGACGTAGACAGGGAGGTGCGGGAGGAGTTTGTGGAGGAGGTGATGGAGCTGGTGGAGCTGGACGGGCTCAGGGACGCCATGGTGGGGATGCCGGGAGTGAATGGGCTGTCCACGGAGCAGAGGAAGCGCCTCACCATCGCCGTCGAGCTCGTCGCCAACCCCTCCATCATCTTCCTCGATGAGCCCACCAGCGGGCTGGATGCACGGGCGGCGGCCATTGTGATGCGCACCGTGCGCAACACGGTTGACACGGGGCGGACTGTGGTGTGCACCATCCACCAGCCCAGCATCGACATCTTTGAGGCCTTTGATGAGGTCAGTGTGCTGGATCTCAGTGGCTTTTCAAGTACTCCCATCGCATTCTCCATCTCGCATCTCCCTTTCTTGTGACTCTGTTTGTCTGGTGTTTTTTCCCTCCCGTTTCTCTGCTCCCCTCCTTACCCTCTCTTCTCCCTTAATCCCCCATCCCCCCACCTCTTGCACCTCACAGCTGCTGCTGATGAAGCGGGGAGGCGAGGTGATATACATGGGCCCCTTGGGCGTGGACTCGCGGCTGATGATCGACTACTTCCAGGCCATCCCAGGCGTGCCGCCCATCCCCGCCGGCTACAACCCAGCCACGTGGATGCTCGACATCTCCACGCCCGCCATGGCCGACAAACTCAACGTCGACTTCGCCGAAATCTTCCGCCAATCAGACCAGTTCCGCCGCAACGAGGCGCTCATCGAGTCGCTCAAGACACCTCCACCGGGCCAGCAGGACCTCGCCTTCGCCACTCAGTACGCCCGGAGCTACGCGTCACAGTTCGTTGCTAATCTGTGGAAGCGCGCGCACATGTACTGGCGTGCACCAGACTACAACGCGATGAGATACTTTTCCAGTGTGGTCATGGCGCTGCTGATCGGAGGCGTGTACTTTGCGCAGGGGCAGCAGCGCAGCACGCAGCAGCAGGTGCTGAACGTGATGGGCGCCATGTACACGGCGGCCATCTTCATGGGGTGGAACAACTCCGCCTCCATCCAGCCCATCGTTGCCATCGAGCGCACCGTCTTCTACCGCGAGCGCGCCGCTGGGCTGTACGGCGCCATCCCATACGCCCTAGCGCAGGGAGCGATCGAAATCCCATACGTGTTGGTGCAGACGTTGATCTACTCGCTCATCACGTACGCGATGATCCAGTTTGAGTGGACGGCCGGCAAGTTCTGGTGGTACACGCTCTTCATGTTCCTCACGCTCTTCTACTTCACGTGCTACGGCCTCATGGCCATCGCCATCTCGCCCAACGACCACATCTCCTCCGTCTTCTCCAGCTTCTGCGTCTCCTCCTGGAACCTTCTCTGCGGCTTCCTCATTGCCCGGCCCGTGAGTGCTGCATGCTCACTCGTCGTGCTGTACTTCCACTTCTGTTCCTTTTGCCTGCCATGTTCTGCTGGCCATGCCCTTCTGATATAGATGCTGCCGCCCCATAAAGTGCCACCTGTAGGTCACTCAACCTCTAAATTCAGCCGTTCACGTGCAACCCTCTCTTACCTTGATGCACCGCAGCACATCCCGGTGTGGTGGCTCTGGGCCTACTGGATCGACCCCATCTCCTGGACCCTCTACGGCCTCAACGTCTCACAGGTAATGCCCCTTGCTTTTGAGACGTCTCAAAAACAACCTTGTGGCACATCCCAGTGTGGTGGTGATTTGCCTGCCTACTGGATCGATCCCATCTCACGGACCATCTACGGCCTCAACGTCTCACAGGTAATGGCCCTCGCTTGCTTGCTTCCTCCCATTCTGCACAAGTGCTGGACACATGCTGCACAAACGCTGCACACATGTTGCATTCACGCTTGGCTTGGTCATTTCTGGTCATGATTTCCTAATGTCTACACATATGCATGTAGCACGTGCTTACATGCTGAGCTGCTCATGCTGCAACTGCTGGACTGCACACTACACTTTCCCTGCCGTGCGCCCACAACCCATGCATCGTTGTTCACTGCATGAGTTCTCATGGCTGAATCCATGCTGCATCACTGTTCACCTCTACCTTTCTCTCACCACCACAGCCTTTCTTCAATCATTCTGCCCTGCACCAACCCGCCTAGCTTGCTCCATCCACAGCCCTCTCATTCCCCCTCCCCACCTTTCTTCCCTCTCTCCTGTCTTCCCTCTCTCCTGTCTTCCCTCTCTCCTGTCTTCCCTCTCTCCTGTCTTCCCTCTCTCCTGTCTTCCCTCTCTCCTGTCTTCCCTCTCTCCTGTCTTCCCTCTCTCCTGTCTTCCCTCTCTCCTGTCTTCCCTCTCTCCTGTCTTCCCTCTCTCCTGTCTTCCCTCTCTCCTGTCTTCCCTCTCTCCTGTCTTCCCTCTCTCCTGTCTTCCCTCTCTCCTGTCTTCCCTCTCTCCTGTCTTCCCTCTCTCCTGTCTTCC